CTCTGAGTCCATAGGTCCCATTCTAGAATGGTTCATATTAAAGAACACTCTTGGCTAAATGGTGATCTGAGATGGCAGACAATTTTTTAGAGGCATATTTGATTTCAAAAGTCACTCTGTGGGAATTGTGGGCTGATGTGTTCACCACCCTGATGTCTCAGGCTCAAAGTCTTTTGCACTCAAATGTTTTGTTGCGACACTTGTTAAACAAGAGCCCTCTTGCACACATTAAGGATTCACAGACACTGTTTAGGCTGTAATTCAGCAATTAGGCTATCACCTGTTAAATAACCCATGGGAGAGGTGAATGATCTTGTTTCCAGTCTTGGGAGACYCTCTGAGTGTGGGATGAGGCAGTGTCCCACAAGAAATTTCTTGGGGGCACTTACCTGTTAGGAAAGAACACAATTGCAGGCAGGCTAAGATGGTTTGTTGAGACCCAAATGAGGGGCCTCTGGATCAGTGTGTTGTGGAGCAGATCTTTAAGTGGGTCACACCAAGTGGATATGTTTGCCAATTTCTCTGCAAATGAAATTAGTGGTGTTACACACAAGGCACTGAGAACAGACCAGACTGGTGAGGAATCCTTCCTTCATCCAGTGGGAAAGATTGTTTGGAACTGACTTTCAGCAAAATGGATTGCCAAGAACAGAGATGTCTCAGCATTTGTTTTGGTGCTGATTATATCTTTACAGGCAATTTTTTTTCTCCTATCTCCATATTTTCATTAGAGTAGATCTGAATATTTAATATAATGTTACCACCCCAAAATGTGTATTTAAATGGAAATCTGGCTTTGTCAATTAAGGATATTTTCCAGGTGTTTGAGAAACTGCACATAATGTGTTACAACACAAGACACACAGCTCCTTCATTGGAGTTTGTAAAGTTTGGGAAGTCTTTAGGAGAGTCATAGGGGACCTTGAAGAGAATGTGATCCTAGGCCACTACTCCCAGAGGTACTGATCCGGTGAGGTGATGATGACTGCAGCCTTTGCAGAGCACAGTTCCTGGGGAGGGCAGATAAATAGGACAGAAGGCTGCTTGGAAAAAGTGGATGTACCAGGAAGCCAAATCAATTGTCTTCAACAGGGCTGCTTCAACSAAAAAGAAGGGATTTATTTGTCCACCTTGATATTTCCTTGTACTTTTTGACTGTTGAGCTGTTACAAGTAGCACTTACTTCCTGTATTTCGTAGTCAGGTAGCCACAGCAGAGGCTTCCCAGGAATCCTCCTATGCCATAAACAGACACAATGAAGGACCACAAGAGCATGACTGTCTCAGGATGAAGGGGAGAGCCATGTCGATCTATCCARGTTTCATTAATAAACTTCCTRATGTGCTGAAAAATAAAATAAAATTTGGCTGTGCAATGGGTATRTKRTCCCTTCATATTTRGCTGTTGTACTTCAGATTGAGYCTGTGGTTCCAATATTAGACTTATWTTGAGACTTTCTTAGTAAAACAWGTTCACTGARATCACACTGCAAAATYTTCAAGTTTGTATCAGTCAGGAACCTTCCTGGCAAACATGCTGAGAACTCATTTTGTGCCCTTCTTTGGAGGCTTGTACACTACATGGCAAGAGCTTAYTTAAAACAGCAAATGCTATCCAGTTCTTTGAAGGAGAAAAAGTTCCCTACACATGTGGTGAAACAGTCAGCCAACGAAAAGACATAGATATATCATCTGAATGATATATCAGTAAATCTGGAGTTTATGGGAGAACAGAGGGCTCAAGCTCTCACTTTTGTGTTTTCAGCCTCAGGAGGATGGCTACTTACCACAGAAGGATAGTTGATGACAGAAATATGGAATCCATATGGGAAACTACCACCAATTCCCAGCACTAAGATCATTTGTAGTAGTCCTTGGAACTGAACCTGCAAAGCAARAATAAAATGCTCCATCAGCTTCTCAGTAGTCTAGTTTTGTGCAAGGCCAGAATCTTTGAAGCCACAGTGGTCCTTTCTCTTTGTCCACTTCAAATCTTTTTGAATTTAAACTTTTTTTCAAAATCACTCCAATTTGCTGCAAAGTACAATCATTAGCCACAGTGCCATAGCAAACAACCTGCTGGTGTAAGGGTGGCAATCCATTACTGTGCTCACAAGAAGGAAAAGGAGTTTGAAAAGATACTCCCGATATACAACTCTCACTKTGTGCCTGCAACATGTGACAGATTGGCTGGATAAAGGTGTCAGTCCTGGATGCAGGGAAGAGGGAATAAATTTCCTTGTCTGCAATCAACAGTAACCAATGTACACCAAACCATAATGTAAGATAATACATATCACTTCTTCCCTTTTTAAGATTATGGAAACTTCTGATGGATTATATTAATTATGTTTTGAAGAAGTGAAGAAAATAATTTATTTAAAAACTTATGTCATTATTTCTTAGCCTTTTCCTGTGTGGTTAATATATTAATTATTTTTGGAAGTAATCAAAATACTTAATAATTACTATTGTTTTCAGTAATTTAGAAGACAAAGTAAAGTGGTATTGTCAGTGATGGAATAGCTAGAGCTGTTGTTAGATTTTTATTTGATTCATTTCATTTCATTTCATTTCACTTCATTTCATTTCACTTTATCTTGTTGCACAGAAAAGAACATGCAATATGATTGTCATGGCCCCAAGCTTCATTGCTCTTGGTGATGTTTAARCACAGAAGCTAAAGATGGTCTGTGTAAAAAAGGAACTTAAAATCTTTAAAGAACTAGAGTTTCCAGTATTATGTTAACATTGTCTGAGCCCCGAGGTGTGAGCAGATACTCACCAGGTTAGAGAAGAAGGCAGCCATCTCCTATGAAAGAGCCGGTGCCTGTCGCTCCCTGGCTGGTACCTGCCAAAGCAACCAAATGCTCACATTATACAACAGCAGTATCAGTGAACTAGTCCCGTGTTAGTGAAGTTAAATTTTACTTCAGAGGGTTTTGAGTTAATTACACGTATTTCAACTGTCGTACAAAGTTTAGGATTGTTGGATTAAATATTTCAACCAATGGTTATGTCTAACCCAAGTAAACAGGATGGCCTCCATTGCAGGGAACCTGTATACTCCATGAACTCTGTCTTGTGCCAGGGGGATAGGGGACTGAGAAAAYAATTTTAACAGGATTCCCTTCACCATAACTTGCTTGGCTTTCAGTATAAGCAAAAAACACMGAGACAAAGTTCTCTGTTGGGAATCTTAGATGGGGCTTGGACAGTGAACTACAGGACTTTGCCATATTATAGGAAACAGATGTCCTCTCTTCAAGTGACAGCAACTGGAGCACATCTTAACTTAATCAGTGAAAGGAACTGAACTACTCCATGATTTTGAAATGGGGTGCAAACTTAACAATTCTACAGTGGCACACTAAGCTTGACCAGCTAAGTATTAATAGCTGATTTTCCTGTGCTAATAGGGAGAAAGGCTCATCATGCAGTTTTATCTGGCATTTCCACTAGTCAGTATACTTATTTCTGTGTCTGCAATGAAAAGTAAGGTTGCTTTGAAACTGTTTTGTAACCTCCACAGCTGGATTGGTGTCTGCTTCTTCTCAGAGAAAATTCTCAGGCTTTAACTACAATTATTTCACAATTAAACGGGTCTTGGATGTATTCAGTTGGTAAATGGTTTAGTTATCACTCAYCATTTGCACTTCAGTTAAAGGAGAGGATGAAGAAATCATACAGGGCTTATTTGATGCAAGCAGTCRTATTTACTAGAAAATATTTCACATGCAAAGCATATTCCCAGATTGTCTAGGTAATGTTTGAAATACAGTGTATGGCACCACCCATCTGTTTCTCCCTCCTCTGTGTRGGCTTCACCACGACCTTGACCTTGCTGTTGATTTGTGCTGGGAGTTCATGGAGGGATTTTTTTAGTTTAGGTTCTCCAGCAGATAAGATATTATTAGAGTGCAAACGAGACTGTCCCTTTGATGCTAAGAATTAATTTCCTTTGCTGTAAAGTTATAGAAAGGGATGAAATTCTGTGTTAGGTGCTGGTATCTGCCTTGTTCAGATGATATTGGGGGAACACACAAACAGGCAATAACATGTAGATTTCAGCATGGGGCATTCCTTCTCAAATGCAGCCTGCTGCACATATTTTCTTATGTTTTACTTTACCCACTTCTACGGAGTGTATTTATACACATGGAACTTATACATTTTGCTCTCGGGCTTTAGTTTAGGTTTCCTACTTTGGGTAGGTTGAATCTTCCTCCCATAACTCCCTTACTGTGAAATGTCTTTGATTAGTGACTGTACTGCTTGTGTGCTATTGTTGCTTARACTGTTCAGAGGACCCCTTTATTAGATGTGCAGTTTCCTAATTTCCTGTCCTCTTTGTCCCTATCTGCTCCCATATATATTTGAACCATACCTTTTGCTGTTTCATCCCTTGACCTGACTGTCCCCTCAACACAGCTCTTGCTCCACTGAGCACAGGCAAAGTTTGACCTGTGCTCCACAAAACTGTTCCACTTCGTTGACACAGTAATGTTCCATAGGGCATCTGCTCACATCCTGGTGAGGGTCTTATGGGGAAAGYTTTCCTAAGTAACACCTAATGAATAACTGAGATCAGAGAAGTGACTCACTAGAGAGTGGCTCAGCAATACTGCACAATGCCACCCTGCTCTTGTTTCCAAAGATTTCAGGGGTTGTTGYAACAGAAGGAAGGGTATTTTCAGGATCACTGGTAAGGAAGAGAGAATTCTCTTCTGGAAACAGTTGAGATTTCTTTTTTATATTGGTAGCTGTTTCCAGATGACTGGTAGTTTTTAATCATATTACTTGTATATGGAACACTACAAAATTTTTGAGTTTTCTGACTTTAGGAGACTTCATGTTTCATAGATATTTAGTTCTAATTCTATTTAGTGAGATGTCTAATGTGTCATGCTGTAAAAGACAAGAATAATGAAAAATCCCAGTCATGCACACCAAAAACTTTTTCTAGTCAGCTGCCCCTGCAGAGATAATGATGTGGAAAAACAAACGTTTGTGGAGGCCAAAAGTTTTTTTACAAGACAATCTGCCATTTTTATTACTGTTACCATTTGCAATTAAAAATAAGCAGCAGTTAAGATGAACAGTTGAATTATTATTTTGAATAACCTTATTTGAGTTGAAGTAAATATKCCAGTCAAAGCAACGGCAGAGGTAAACCCACTTATTTTATTGTGCAAGTCTAGAGTTTGACTTTTTATTGCATATTGTGCTTCACTGTAAGCCTTAGCTTTGCTCATGTTCTTCCTAATAGTTTTGCTTTCCATCCATGGCCATATAAGCCTCTCATTAACACAGGGAAACATGCAAAATATKAGACACCTTCTAAAGAAAAGAAAAGCCCAATGGGCCTGTATATTTCAAAAAAAGTTCTGATTAAATCAGTTCCAGTCTGAGGCGATTCTTCTGGGATAAGSTTGTTCCAGGTAGCCGAAAGTCACACAAGAAAAGTAGCAGTTCAGTTGCTTTGGGATTCACAGCCCTTGAGATGTCKGTGGGAATTCTGCTCCTGGAGGAGGAGCTACAGACTGGAGATGACAGCAGTGATGGGCAGGATAGCACAGAGTATCTAAAATGACTGTAGGTKCTGGGGTTTATGGTGACTGGATTCTATTCATCCATCCTTTAGCTCTATTGCTGCTGAAAGGCAGTCTGAAATGGCTGAATTCTGTCAGATTAGATASTACCCAAGGACAACATGGCACTGTGCATGGGAACCTGGCAAGGTTTTGGTTATTCAGTTGAGTCTACAGAAACAAAGAATTTATCTCCTATTCCACTAAATTTTTTCTTTAATCTGTTATGTATTGAACCCTAGCCAGAGATAGCAAGCCAAGAACTTCACTGTTCCCATTTCAGGGCTGTAAAAACATACTCAGAAATCATAGAGAGAGAGGATCATAGRTCTTTCCTTTCTCTGTGGTCAGCAGAGTGATTATAAATTCTGCATGTAGTTTCAGTGTGTATTGGTTGCTGTGTTAAGATATTTACACATCAGCACATTAAGCCAAAATGCTCATGATTCACATGAGTCTATGCCRTTAATATCAGCCCTTATCCCTTTTCAGAGCTGCCCAGAGTGGAGTGCTTGAGAAAGAAGCTGGTTTGGCRAAATGGGAACCTTGTAAGTGACAGATAGGAAAGCTGACAGTCCATTTGGTGTGACTTGTTAGTCAGAAAATGGCAAATGTCTTTTTTCCCCCTACTTTTTTACAAAAGCCTGATTCCCCCTTACCGCCAGTCAAAGCCTGGTGCAGAAGGTATAATCCTCTGTGACATGATTTGGAGCTGTTGGAATACACTTGTTTTTAAAGTTTAACTTGTTGAATTCTTCTGTGATTTCCATGATTGATTTCCCTTTTGTTTCTGGAAGGAACAGATGGATAACTATCCCTGAAGTGAAAAGTACCACCATAAAGATGAGGAAGCAGAAGTGCTTGAGTCTTTCCTGCAGGGAAGAGCAAAGTGAGAAAGAGAGCAAGATAAGCATATCTTTGCTTTAATCACTTTCTTGGCACAGTTTTTKTACTTGGGTCCCAAAGTATTTTGAATTTGATAAGAAATTCTTTCCATTTTGACCTTTGACAAGTATTTCAATCTTTATAAGTATCTTGGGCAAATCAGGGCCATTCAGTTGCAGAAGTGAACCTGGGAAAGCAGGTGCCAAAAGCACTCTAGAGTGACACAGCACTGTCACCTCCTGCTGCTCATCCTCCCACTGCCACTGCTGGCTGGAGCTGAGTGCCCTGGGAGCATCCCAGGCTAAGGCACTCACCACAATGAACGGGAACGTTGTGCCGATCACAAACACTCCCAGCCAGTTRAGAACTGCGCTGATCACAAAGGCAGGAGGTCTGCAGGACAGCTTGAAAATTTCAACCCTGGTGGAAACTGTGGCACCACCTGAAAGGAGAGAAGCATGAGACTTGTTACTTGTTGATGTGTTTGGCTTCCACATTTGGATTGAGTATTACTGACACACAGTCGGCAGACAGCTGATGCTATCATGGACTGGCATGAGTATGAGAATTGTGTAGTGACATTGAGTATGTTGCTCTTTTTTACAAAAGAAAGTGTTTGTGACATCTAATAAATTGCCAAATGTAAGTTTGTTACAGTAGTAAAATACTCAATTTTTTTTTGAGATCCAAGAATTAAGTAATTTACTCTCATGAAAGAAGATGTGTCAGGATGGAATGACAATTATTAGCACTAAAAGGAATTYCCAGTGTGATTCTGCTAGATCACCAATGGGTGATCTTCCCAGATTCACTTTCTGGGCATTTCACWTCAGGACTTCAACTGTTTTGAGTTAGGAAAACAATTCATTCCTGCCATATGGGAAGGCAAATATTTTTAAAATTATTAGCCTTCAAAATACCAAATTTAATGAGTAGCAGGCAATAAATGCTAGGAAAACAATTGCTCCAAAATAGGTCTTCTGCACTTCTGTCTATGTGGGATAAGAGGTAGCATTATACAACATGAATTTAAAAGAACTCTTGCTTTTCTCTTTTCTTTTTTTTTCCCTAGCATTTAAAAAAATCTTTTACGCATCTGCTTTTACTCTATTTTTGCTGTATTTTTCCAGTGTGTTCCTTTCCTCTTCTTAGCAAAACCCAAGCCTGATGGTATTGAATTTTACCCGATGAATAACTGGACTCACAATGTTTAAACGACTATAAGATTATGTTCAACAAGTTTATTAATGCTAAATATTATGCAATATAAGGCMGTGTTTTCCTAACCATATTGATAAGCTAACATGACTAAATTTCTTTACTCCCTTTGATTGAGAACTTACCTGGTCCAACTGCAAAGACAACTGAAAACAGGACAATGAGAGCAAGGCTGCAGTATGGCATCCAGAAGTACCAGTCCTGTGGGGAAAAAAAAACCATAACAAACTTCTGGCTGAAAACTGTTAATAGCCCTAGGTGAGAAATACTCCTTCTTTTCTAACACTGTCACCTGAAGAAAGGAATATTCAGTATGTGGGAACTGAGAGATGTGAGAGCTTTCTCTGTGGATGGAGCAGTTGAGGTTTTTGTTAGGTGAGAAGAGATGCAGGTTTGTCAGTGCAGAGCAGCAGCAGAGCTTAGGAAGCTTTAATTAACAMAAGTCTGAAGATACTTTTGCACTCTGTCCTTTCTTTTTGACCTCATACTGCTTCCTCCAACCCTTAGAGGTATGAGAAGGACAATTCACATATTTCTTCCTTTTCATTAAGTTATAASTTTACTAACTGATGCTGAAAAAAGTTTTTCTAGATCTTAGTCCAGGAGAAATGAGACTCAATATTTTAGGAAAAAGATTCCTCTCTGTGTTTGAGAGCATTCATGAGTGAAACAAAAACAGAAGTCTGCTGCCACCTTGCTTCCAGGCGAATTTTACAGTGTATCTGTATAGAGTAGGTCCCGATGAGTACTGTATCACAGATGATTTGCTTCTGAAGAAGCTGCAGCAATGACACAGAGGTATCATTGTTAGAGAGATGAACTGATCTCCACTTTCCTTTCTCAGTAGCGTGGTCCTGCCAGTGAGTACAGATTAGAAATAGAATAGACAGAGAAATCTGCTGTGAGCAGAATGTCCTTACCTGTAGAGAAAGAGTCACAGTGATAGCAGCTAGCAGTGAACCCATGATCCAGTAACCTCCTCTTAGGAGCACTTTCCTGCCCAGTCGCTCAATGATGGAGCTCTGAAGCACAAAAATCACATCAGTGTCAGTGCTGCAGAGCAAATTGTGCCCCATTCCCATGGTAATGTGACTTACACAGACTACAGCAGCTACAAGTTCAGAGAGTCCAATAGAGAGGGTCATGTAGGAGGCCATTTTCTCATCAAAGCCAGCTGCCTGGAGGACTTCAAAAGTATAAAAATAAATCTGGAAAAAAAAAAAAGTACATGAAATAGTAAGAGTAGAAAATAATTGATTTCTTACCCTAGCCTGTGTGACTTTGCCCTGTATAGGAGCTGCTAATCAGGGAGCCTGCAGTTCGCTTTGGAGTGAGTTAGAATTCTCCACACTTTTGGATAGTATTCACTTTGTCAGAAGACAAAAATATTATAAAATGTAATTAACTAATTAATTAGAAAAAAAGATAAAATGCTGGGGTAATTGGRCTTTCAGCTACTACAATGCAATTAGGTTTGCAGAATCCTGATTTATGTGTTTTCAGAAACAGCCAGGTGTATCATGTTTTCAGAGCCCATCCAAAAACATCATTGTAGGATGTTCCCAAGAAAGAAGAGCATGGGTTATGGAGTCATGAAGAGGTAAAACAAACATCTTTTCAGTTATCTCTGCTAGTGTTTGAAGATATGCTGAGATGATAAAGATTCCAGTTTAAGCTATGTTAGAYTGAGCTGTGTATTTCCTTAACAGATGTTGCTATGTGGTGATGTTAGAGGTAGGAGGGTCATGCAGGCAGCTGCAAAGCTGTGTCTCAAAAAGGATCCCAGAACAACACTGCTGTGGGGAAGAGCAGAACTGCAGAAGCAGAAGAGGGACCATGCTTGTTATTAGCTTTAAGGGCAGAGTGAGCAGGCTGCCTCCCAACATCTCAGGGTGCTAAGAGCCAGGGAACAAAAAGCAGCAGTTGCAGTGAGCATTCACATGAAACTACAGATTTTGCCAGTGAGGGTGGGCTCATTTGTAAGAGGGAGTTCTGGARCCCTGCAATGGCTCCCAAACCTGGCTGTTCAATGAGCCTAACTACAGAGGCAGGGAACTCAGCAAGGGCCATGAACTGGGCAGAGGRACATCACATGGAGAGTCCAGCCAAGCTTTGTGGCTGCTGCTGCCCTCTAGAAGGGCTGGCAGACAACACGGTTCGGTCTGAGAAGCCTGAGAAAAATGGAGGGAGCTCCTGTGAGCCATGATATCTTGGGACTTAAAGGGGGAAATRCACTCAACTGCATTGATGCCACATAGCTGAATTGTGGCGGTCAGAATAACTATCATGTACAGCTGCCAACGGAAAGCTGGTTCTTTCACTAGTTCCAGGACACTCAAGATCTTGGTGTTTTTCATTGTTGCCTTCTCTTTCATGATGTCATCAATCTCTGCTTGATGTTGGCCTTCACCCCAAAGCTGCCTTATGGCTGTGAAGGAGAAGGAGAGYGAGACCTGCCATGTTAATTCGTCTCTGTTTTTTCCCTAGGAAGTTTTCTGAGTAGGTGATACAAGTGTCTGGCAGCCCAGCATGCATGGGCTGGGGCTGTGCTGAGAGGCAAAGATGTTTTATGGGGTCCAGAGCCCTGATCCTCTCCTGCTGAGACAGAGGGGCCTAGTGRGGTGCACAATGGCTCCCTCCCTGCCCATGGGGCCACTTTTCTGCCTTCCTCCTTCTCTCAGGGTGTGAGCAGAGTACACAGCCAACAGAGCTAAGGGGTGCCCAGTGGAGCCCTGCAGTGCAAACAGCTATTTTTCATTTAGCATTAATCATCAGACTGACARTGCAGGCGGTGTCAGCTGAATGCAAAAGGTTTTGTAATACAGAGCTGCAGAGGGAAGTAGTTTCATGTGCGGGGACTACAACAAAAATGGACTTAGTAGGTATTCACAGAGCCATTGGAAATGAGCAGGGAGAAACTTTGTCCTGTTTATTWTTCACATGGGGAAAGAAAGCATCACAAAATGATTTTAAGTCAAATGAGGAACAGGAACCTGAAGCCCTCAGTTACCTTTTTTGCAGGCTTCCTGGTCTCCTTTATGCATGAGGAGATATGGTGGGGACTCTGGGAAGAAGGGAAGCGCRACCAGCTGGACCAGTGCTGGGAGTCCACAGGAGGCCATCAGCATGGGCCACAGGGACTGGCTGCCCAGCAGCTCCCTGGGAGAGATAAAATGTGTGTAGAGTAAAAGTTCATTGCATTGGTTTTGAGGAGAGAAAGGAATGGGTGGAAAAGCAGAGGAAGAAGCAAAAGGTACRAGGGATCCAGAAATTAATGGTGTGAGTAATCAATTCCATTATACCTTTGTCCTGAAATTTGCCCTACGGCTTTTCCCAATGACCAAAAGAAAGAGGAAGTAGAGTTTGCAAATCCACGTAGCTTCCTAGGGGAAATCTCTCCAACATATTGATGGTGTAGAGGAACACAAAGACCTTAAGGTGAAGAGGGAATTATGGGAGAGAAGAAAAAAGATATAACCGTTGACAATGAACCTGGTTGATAATTAAACATTATCAAATTAAGCTGTCTCATTTCTGACAGCTTTGTATATTTATACACTTGGCAAATCTGAATTTCATTTGGTATCAGTGAAATTAGTAATAATTATGCTCTTTACTGCAGGGTGTTAGAGCAAATCTTACAAAAGATCAATGACTTTAATATTTTATTTCTTAGTGGAGGGTTATTATTTACTTTGCATAAAGATGTGAAATTTTGTGAGATCCTGCTGACCTGTGGGAGAAATCACTCACCTGCACTTACTCCACACATGAAACGTCCAATTAGAATCATCTCAAAGGACTGGGCTATTTTACTGCAGCCCATGACAGAGGCTGCCACTATCATGAGCACGTTGTTGCACAAGAGACATTTTTTTCTGTAATGCAAGAAAGTCAAAAGATTTTTTGTGGCTCTGAAGGGAAATGGCACTCATGCTACACAAGAAGTCTTGGCTGAAATGCTCTTGCAAGTTTAGTGTAATTACACATATGTGGTCCAGGACAAAATAAGGACTTGGTCCTCCGGACTCATGCCTTGGCATGTGGCTGGACCTGGGATTTTGGGAACACTTGTGGGTTGCGTAGCAGAGAAAAATCTTAAAGTTTTTCTGCACTTGAACATCCATTATGAAACACATTATTGTACCACCAACAAGTATCTCAATACATCTGTATTTTGAGTAGCGCTTTCAACAACCCATTCTGACTTYAGCCAGGCACTGCCTTTCCTTTTGGCCAAGATTAACCCAGTCTGAATAACTGAGCCTGGTGGGACAGGCTGACAACTCAACTGATTAGTCCATGCCATGCAACATGGGCAGGAAGCAGGAAAATTACAGTTAAGCTGGCTGTGCTACAGCCATGACTAAGTCTAAAAGTCTGTCTCATTCAAAACCTCGAGTATCATTTCCTTAAGCTAAGATTCAATTGACAAATTGTCTTTAAACATACATACTTGCCAAATTTGACAGTGAGGTATCTACTTCCTGAAGAACCCAAGAGACCTCCTATACCAAAGATGGACACAGTGATAGACCACAGGAACAAGAGGTTGTCCTGTTGGATGGGATAGCCGTATCGCTCCAGCCAAGTTTCGTTAATGAAAGCCTTAACATGCTGAGACAGAAAAAGAATTTTCATTAACAATACCTGTGACAGCAGTGCAGGTGTTTTATTATATTTACAAAATCGTTTTGGTGCTTCAGCTAAAGTTACTATTTCAAATAGACTTTAAAATTACATATTAGCTAACAGATAGTATAAGAGAGTGTGCTATGCTTGTTCTGTCCTTAAAAGTTCAGTCTTTGGGGATTTTTGCCTTGTAATCTAAGGAACTGAGGCATGGACTGGTACTAAAGAATAATGTAAATAGTACTACTGAGTTCTGCGATGAGTTATCCGTTGTCTCTCCCGTATCTGCCAAGAATGCCAGGTTACACAGTGCCTGTTCAGTGCACTGTGAACATTYAGTTCCTAAATACTTTTGCACTCAGAACTTAGTGCTCTGAAGTAAAAAAATAATTATTTTGCCCTAACATGATCTCTACAAAATACTGATGTCTTCCATCTAGACCTCAGTGCCTTTAATGGAAGTTTTACCTGTGATCAGTTGAGAGAAGCAGACATTCTCCTACAGCATGGTTCACTTGTTCTATTTGTCCGTGAACATGGATTACCATAAAAACATCAACTGAAAGTTGGCACATATGCTGGAAGTTTTTAGGGGAGGCMGATGCCACCCCTGTCAGTGTGTGTCTTCTGAGGAACAGTTCTATAAACAACAACTTGCAGATCTCTCTTCTGTTTGCAACACTTTGACATGTTCTGCTTTTCATGATARCACAGCATAGCAAATGGGAAATGAGAGGATACTGTGATTAAACCCTTTCTGAATGCCAGAGGAGCATCCTCAGGCAGCGATGTAGACCCAGTACCATCATTAACCAGTGTGCCATGTCCATCTTTGCCTACCTGAGACATGTAGGTGATGGTGGAAATTTGAAAGCCAATTTGGAATGTTCCACCAATCCCCAGGACYGTGATCATTTGAAAGAGCCCCTGGTACTGTACCTGCAGAAGTAGAACAAAATCTTCTTAAAATTGTAGCCACATCAGGCTGTTCTCATGATGCGTCTTTCATTCTCCAGAAATGTCTCATTCATTTAAGGGATTTTTGGGTAGGAATGTTCCCCATGGTTGCCCTGGCATGAGGCATATTTCCTCCTGTGATTTCTCTACATCCAGATCAAGGGAATACAGCTTCCACAAACATCCTTGTCAAGGCACCACAGCTGCTGGCATCCAGTCTTATTCCCTGCCTCTTAAACCCTCTGCCTGCCATGATTTGCACTAAATAATTAGATAAATTCAATAATGCACTTTTTATTTTCTTAAATCAGGTAAGCAAAGCAAATTAGGTTTGTAGATAAGCAAATATTTTCCAGTAAATGAAAACATTTAAGAAACATTAACATGTTGACAAAAATATCACAAAGATGGATGGCAAAGCATTTTAAGTGCTGCAATAACTCAAAGTAGTGGGCAGAGCTACTTCCAAGATGCTTGTAGTGAACAGGAGCCTTGTTTTTGCCAAGATAATGATTGGTTTTCTTTGAAACCCCAGTCACACAAAGTCAAAAATGTCACAGATGTGAATACCCCACCAAGTACTTACYAGGTTTGATCGGAAGCCGGTCATCTCTGGCTGAGGGATGGTTGTCCAGTGTGTRATGTGTCTTGGTCATCACAGGCTTGTGTGTCTCTGTCTCCTGCCTGCTGGTACAGCAGTGGGCATTTGGCTTCAGGAATCAGAGTTAAATTTTTACTATTTCATCTTCACTCAGTTATATTTACTTCAACTGGCCAAAGTTAACATTGCCAGATTAAATATTTCAGGAAATAATTACATCTAGTCCACTCTCTAGGGGGAAAGTCCCAAAGCAGATGAAATCTGCATCTGTGGGCTAGGGAGGGCTTTGGGAAGGAAAGGGAATGAGTGAAGCAAAATAATCCAAACAGTTTTCCAGGAAGAGCAAAATGCTTTACTTTTATGATACAGAGTGGTGTGTATATCTGCTGTAATCTGCATAAAGCAAAAAGAAGCTGGTACAAGGTTCAGGCATTTATTAATAAGTAAATTATGTGGTGTTCTGTTCCAGACTCTTTGATATTGTAAATATTGTMATTAGAAAAAAATAGGCAAATTTCAAAGCCTGATTTTACTGTTCTGGCACTATCTATCAGTTAGACTGTACTGATGAAGGGTATTTGTTGTCTGATGTTTAAGGGGATGTTTGTCTACCTGGTGTGGTGAAAAAGCAGTAAGAGACTAAAGACTCATGAGAGTTTTCAAGGAGGTAAATATGTCCTAATGAGCTGGGATAGGACCACTGGGAKCTTTGTCCCTCAGGTTTCACCTTTGACACAGAACAGCTCCAAAAGTGCTGCATGCATTGAAAAATCACCTTTGCTTCCCAGAGGCTCCTTTTTTGTGAAGTGAAGCTCAAACCACAGCTCTACGTAGCTTTGGCCAGAACCAACACTCAGAAAAAAGAGGTTGGTTTGCCTGGGGTTTTCAAGTGTGGTTGATGCCCTGTGCTCTTCTTGCCCTCAAAGTCTTCTGCTCCCTTTCCTCATGCCAGGGGACTGTTCCCTGCCCCCAAGGCTTGCGGTGGGGGCAACTGGGGCAATAGGATCATACTGAAGCCCTCAGWAAATGCTCAAGATCACCCTTAGGACTTGTACTTTCAGTGTATAAAACACAGAACACAATTATTTACAGAGGGGCTCACTGCAAATACTGTAAGTCTAAATAAGAGAAAAGATGCATGTTAATGTTAAAACCTTGGTTACTTGTGTAATTCCAACTATTGTCTATATAAACTGCATAGCAAATGCTGTTTATCCTGGCTTGCAATAGTGTTTAGAATGATTTGGCAATTTTTAAATTTTCTCTTAAATACTGACATTGTAACTACTGGTGTATCTCTTGGCTGTTGTTTCAAAATGTTAATGTTTCCCTTTCATCATGTATTTTTTCTCAAATTGTAGTGAGTGTAGGGAGGGTATTCATAAGGATTCACCCCTTGAAAATAGTTACTGAGGACCTCAAATAGCAGCAAATTCCACCAGCTCACAGTGAAATTTCTCATACATTTTGGGGGATCTCTGGTAATTCTGAGCCATGGTACTATTTCACCTAATTTGCAGTTTTAGGAGAATTTCATTCTAAGAGTTTACTTCTTGGTTTTTTATCAAGTCAATGGAATTGACTGTTTCTGTTGAAAACATGACCTTTATTCTTGAAAATGCTGTTACACTGGAAGTTGTGCACGGTTTCACATGTAAGGAATTATTACTGAGTTAAGGAGATTTTGTTATTTTTTATTTTTTATAGAGCTCTAGGAAATGCTAGCTGTGAAATGGACAAATACATGAAACTCAGCTTCGTGAGGTGTGGCAAATAGTTTTGTCTAAAGAGCTGAAAGCCAGGCTTGGTTSTAAACTAGCTTGAACCACATTAGATTGCTCATTGTGAATGACTGAAGCCATCTGCAGTTAAATTTCATACTGAGAGAAACTCGGTGGTTTCTTTTAGATTTGATTTGGGTTTGTKGTAATCCAAAACTCAAAATGAAATTCTGAATAGCAAAATCATGAAGACTCGAGCTAAAAAATGTGTTTAGGCACAAACATATTCTATGTGAAATCTGTAAGTTTAATAGCACATAATTATCTGTTATGATGTCTTGCTGATTGTTGACTGTTCTCAGGTTTTTAAGGTGATAAGAGAGTGACTTTCGTTCGTGAAGACTACACTTATGTCTGTGAAGAAATGTTAATATATTTTCCAATAATAGAAAAGAAATAATTTGCCTTTGTTTTGCAGTCTGCAGGCATCGAGGTATTTTATGACCTTTTTGATGAGCAGATAGAAGCTGCTGTAGGTTATACTTCTCAAGAGAACCATTTCCTGTAAAAGAATGAGGTCTATTCCTAAAATGTAAAGTGCCAAATCCTTTGGTTATTTTAATAAAAAAGTTCCCCTTTATCTCTGGAAGGAAGAAAAAGATGAAGATGTTGAGCTGATGAGGATCTTAGTAAAGATAAGGGAGCAGAAAGAGATGAGGTTTTCCTGGAAATAAATYAGAGAAAGATATTTTGATTTTATTTTTTTGCTCCTCCTTTTACAGCATTTTGAACATGATGACAAAAATAATGCCAATGATGGCAAAGTTTCACTTTKTGAAATACAGTTTTGTTGCTGCGACRTGATGCACTCCAGTGTGTAGATGTGAAACAGAAACAGAAATAAAATAGTTAAAATTTTCTTCTTTCCTGAAGGCAAGATAGGCAAAGTGAGTAGTCAAAATAACTTGAGATGTTGCTTGCAGAAGCATGAAAGAGGCCTTGGGATGGGATTAAAACAACTCACAAACATTAATATTGGCAGGTTAATAATATACTTTCTGGTTTATCAGTAACTGCAAGAGATGCAGCAATAGTGAGCATTTGGGAGAACAGGCCTCCTGAGGTCTGGCATGTTGGGTTAGTGCAGTTTGGGAGGATCAATGCATGAGATGGAAAGGTTCATTAAGCCATGAAGTAGAGGAGACACCCCCAAAGCAACCTGACTTCTTACAGGAGACACTGGAGCTGTATCAGAGTCAGCATRGCTGGACTTCATAGAGAGGGACAGAGGGATCCAAGGCTCATGTTTTTAAACCAGTCATGGTGCCGTGTGACAGGATCAACAGTCCCTCTGCAGTGTGCCAGCTGTGCTTCTGCTGAGACTAGTTCCTGTGAAAGAACCAGCACAGGGAATAAAATCAGAGAAAGGAAGTGAGAAATGAAAGTGGGAATTATCACAGCAGAGCACTGCTGTGCAGATCTGRTACATTGATCTGGTACAGTGCCAATAGAGAGCACTGATCCTGGTGGATTTTTCCATCTGCCCATTGAGTTAGCGACTCCAYGGCTTTAATGTCTGTTCAGCACAGTTCAGAGCTACTGCCACTTCAACTGCACCTCACTGTGAAACCTGTGCAGRCTGGGAAAGAGCAGCGTGGAAGAAGATAAATGCTACATTTGTGTTCCATTTGGTTTCATGCTGTTCTTATCTTCACACAGGAAAGGGAGGCATTAGAAATTGCCCACTATAACATTGTTAGGGAAGCTGTAAGCTGTGCTGTCAGAGAGGGCATAGGGAAGAGGGTGTGGTAGCAGTGTCTGTTAAGTGGAGAGATTGATGCATTTGTTACCAGGGCATGCTCACTTTGAGGCAGCAATAGGTGAGCTCTTATTCTTCTGCAAAGAAGGGTGGGTGAAAAGAGCCAGGAATGRAAAGTCAATGGAAACGATTTGCCATTTGATTTGGGAAGCATCCTTTACATTGTGRCCACACCATCAATGACTCCCGAAGATGCTGTATTTACTTTTCTTACCATGGATGAGGATTTATGAGGGACTTCTGAGGGATTGACCACCTCCCAACATAAAGAGCATTAAAACAAACCACTGGTATAGAACCTGCAAGGAACAGTACAAGCCCATTATAGAAGGAGCTGGTGATATGATAGTCCCTGCATTTCCAGGGTATTGGCTTGTTTGAAGATGCTTAAATGATCTCAGCAGAACATGCAAAGCATCAGTGCAAAAAAAGATCAGCCAGATAAAGGTTCTGGATTTTCAATTTTGCTACTCTTCTTCATATTAACTAACTAAACCRTCCACAAAACATTTCTTTTCAAATGTACCATTTCATAACATTATCAGCCTACCAGTTGGAGAGTAATCTGATAGTACCAACTTGGGCATGGAAGCAAGTGGGAGCAGATAAAAATGGTACAGAAATACCACACCATTTAAGAACAACAGGAATTAAATTTTGATTTTTTAAAAATTAGTTTTTTCTAACCCGCTGGAATTTCCTTCAAAGTCTCCATAATGATTTAGTCCAGAACATTAGGTCTGTATCTTTGGATTTTTTTATTTTAAATGCTAGCTTTAATTTTTACAGTAACAAAATCAAAAGGATTATCCCCTGCCTATCCTATTATTTTGAAAGAAGTTTGGTAAATATGTATTGCATTTGCTTTAGCAATGGGGATTGCAACAGACAACCTCTCAGTTMTTCTGAAAGCTAAATGCTGCCAGCTGAAGTACTCACCATTTCTGGAAGGAGCTTGTCCATCTCATATCAAAAGGGTGGCTGATCCCAGACAGTCAGAACTCTGTCAGACTGAGRAAGTGCTTTCTCTCATGCCTCTTCTGCACCTTCAGCTTAAGTAACATCCTACTCTGAGGCTGAGGTTAATGTTTACTTCGTATGATTTCTGTCAATTTATGTTTTTGCAACAACTGGACAGCTCTTAGAATGGATGGATTAAGTATTTCAGTGCCTCAGCAGGAGAGGGCCCTCTGAATGGGAACATYCAGTAGCATGAGTGCTCCTTATTTTGATACAGGGAGTGAATTTAAAATCTAACCCAGATTTCAATTGCTGGAACGCACACAGATGCTTTAATATCAGAGCTTCTATGGTGGTTATTCCTTTAGAAGCAGTGAGTATATTATTTGAAAATTTTAAATATAAAATTCCCTAAAACTCAGTGCTAATTCTGAGCTCAGCACAATGATAATAAATAAGAATGTTTAAACTGMAGAAAGCAAACTTATGGTCCTGCTAAAGAGGAGGCAGAAATGCCATTTGTTATCATGACAGAAAAAGGAAAAATAATTGATCATRCTATATGAAGGTAGAAGAGGTTGGGGAGGGAATTGATTAGATGCTGCAGTGATCAGCAGTACTAACAGCCCCCGAATAGAATACAGGGTGCTGTGGAGCACAGCAGAGGTGAACTGGAGGATTGTGTGCTGATGTGCAGCAGCAGAGTGCAGTGTGTCCTAGGCCAGTGCACAGCCAGCAGGACACTGGGCATCACAACTTCTTTTTGAAGCAGTTACTTATTTATAAAATGGGCTAAATTTTCAAACTGTCTACCCTCTCAGTAGTCTCTCAAAGCTTACTCTCTGTGTCTTTCCTGGGCTCTTGTGTTTCAGCTCTCAGCACTGCCTGTGCATTTGTTAACCCTTGTGCCATCCATGAGGCACCAGAATATATTACAACAACTTCCTCCTGATTTTGCTACCACTGATATGCATGGAGAGTGCAGTCAATTTGCTCCAAAGAATGCCAGTGAGAGTTCTGTACCAAATGCCCAGGGATCAGGGTTGATCCCTGACAGTCCTAGCGACAATCAGGACATACAGTTACTTGATGACAGCTCAAGGAAGCAGAAGTTGCTATTCTACCTGGTATTTGTTCATGTGCGGTGTTCACAATCAATATTAAGTTCTTTCCAGTGTGATAGCATAAAGAGATGACATGAAAAWTGTTTGTAGTAACTATGTCTATGTTTAATCCTTTCTTCATCCTGCTCATAATCCTGAGCAGAACTTTCCTATAAAGTAACAAACATAGACACAAATCTTGCTGCTTTATAATGACAGCAATGGAGAAAGACTTGAAACACAATCGACATGTTATGCCTGAACGTATTTTCCATATGCCAGTTCTGAGAAGTGTCTGTAGTTACCAACGTCTTCCTGCTACAGAGCTGCTCTAGAAAGGAGCCATTGTTTCTCATCACAAAAAACAAAGATGAATATAAACGAGGACTATGAATGACAAGCTATCTCTGGATTCCTTTTTGAATTGTATTTCATTGAGAAAAGTCCATGTTAATGTTTAGYTTTCACTCAATTTTGAGACAGAGCAATTTGGAAATTGCTTACAGTGGCTTATCAGAGCCTGGTGCAAAATGTCTTTTCTTGAGTAGCATTCATCTCCACAGCCTTATGAMGTTTCCTCTTAAAATGGTGGGTTTTGAATTCTTCTGTGATTTCAGAGGTTGACTTCCCTTTTGTTTCTGGGAGGAACAGGTAGATAAGAACCACTGAAAGGACCAGGACAACAATAAAGATGAGGAAGCAAAAAGGACCAAGAAGCATCTGGAGACAAAAACAGAGCAAGATGAGTGATTTCCCTGACAACACTTYCCCCTAAAGATTCTTGAAAGTTGTTGATTTGTTCCTGTGAAATGAGGAATAGGGTCATTTTGCAGAAACAATATCTATTTATCTTATCAATCTGTTGTGGGGCAGCAGATGGTTTCTGAAGTACCGGGAAGTGTTTTATATAAATGGCCTCCATATGCCAGTACTGATACGGGATTCACAGTTTTGATCATCTACAAGTCATTTCATCCTACTCCCTGTCCAGATCAACCTAGAAATCCAGAATAAATTGACAGAGTCAAAGAGAATATTTGAATCAAATTACGTACTACAGCAAAGGGGAAAATCATTCCAGTGAAGGTGAGGCCTAGCCAAGTGACGATTCCACCAATTACAAAAGCAGAGGCCCTTGTTGAGAGGGTGAAGATTTCATTCATGACAGATGCAGGSGCTCCAGCTGAGGAAAAAAAAACCATAAAAAATAATAATAGAAACATTGGCCATTTCCCATAGAAGATACATCAGTTCTGCTACTGTGGGAATTCTGTTATTTTTTCAAGACATTCATGGTCCTCATGTACATCCCTTACAACACTAAAAGATACCATTTGAATTTGGAGATTTTAGTAACTACTAGTAGTGTTTAGTCAGTAGTGCTTAGTCAGTAAATATTAGTCTTAGGTGATTTAACTTCTAGTAGAGATCTGTAAGTTTGGGTCTGGCATCGGCGATTAAAAGTGACATTAAGAGACGACAAGCAAGGACAGAGCAGTGCTAAGAGACAGACGACACATTAGTGTCATTCACTATCAAGTGTCATTCTTCACAGAGTAGAATTTTACAGGTAAGTTGAGAGAACTCCAATATTTTAGAAAAGCCTCTCTGCCCTTCTGAGAGAGAGCATTTGAACCCGTATGCTCTGACAAACATTCACACCCTGTAAATCAAGTCTTAGTGAATTGATYAACAACATTTTATTTGGTTTGAACCTGTAATCCAGTGAGAGAAAACAGGGTCCTGATTCATCAGGGTGTGAATGATTTAATACAATTTGTTAAAGAAATTGTTTCTTAGGTATTGAATTCATCAAAAATTGAAATTTCCTCACTCTCAGTCTCAACTAAGCTGTTGACTTTCAAAGATATACTCACACATTGTAGTTCTACTTCTATACAGTCATGGCCTGTGCTTATCCATGTGGTTCAAGCTTTCCTGTTGCTTTTATTGTTATACTCACCTGGTCCTATTCCATAAGCAATGATGAATAAAAAGATGAGAATAACACTGCAGTAACGCAACCAGGGGAACCGATCCTAGATAAAGGTGAAGGGAGGGAAGAGAATGAAAATYAATTTTATAGCTGTAGCACAGCTGATCTAAGCACAGGAACAGCGATATTTGGGRAAAAGCCCATGACATTGAGCTCTGAAATAGATGCTCTCTAGACCTGCCTATCTTTCTTTAATGAACACAGTAGAAGGCCAGAGGTAACTTGTGGTGTCACRTCTGCAGAGGTGAGCTTTTCTTTAGAAGATATTCTGACCTGCTGGTTTGGACATGAAAGCTMAGGCTGCCTATCTGCTGTCCTGCACAAAGAATTCTGATCTTTGGCCACTCCTGGAGAGACATTTGCTTACACTCAGCAGAAGGCTTGTTTCAAGCAACGCCAGTATCAGTGCCATCAGCAAATAACCACCACACAGGAGCATTCGGCGTCCAAACCGATCGATTATGGAGCTCTGAAGAATAGAAAAGAATTGCCTATCACTGGAGGCATGGCAAAATCAACTGTGAGTTGTCCAACAAATCAAGCATTGAGGTTTTTTTTTTTACTTCAGAGAATACAAATCTTATTGGTACTAAGTTTGTTATTTTATTGAATTCCTTCTAGACTCTCTAATATTATGAATTACCATCACTGCTCTGCATTGCAGCTACTTCTCAAACACTGTGATCAATGGTAGCATGCTACCACTCCATTTGAATATACAGATATACACAAATATATGGAAAAGGTTACACAAATTTATGTTTGAATGATATTTGATAAGGAATTCTTGTAAGAAATTAAGATGTATGAAGATGGGAAGAAAGACACGAAAGTTGGGACAAAACTTGCAGTGGGTGGTAACAACCATCAACCATTGTACGTATTTATGCAGCACCACAGAAAAGTTCTTCAGTTCATAAGGAGAAGATTAATTTGCTTTATGGAAGAATACTTCAATTCTTAAAACCCCAGGAAGCTCTGACTTACACAAAATATGATAGAGATGAGTTCAGAGATCGAGAYTCCTAGAGATACATATGGGATTATGCTTTCCTGCAGGTTGGCTGTCTGAAAAATTTCAGAGGTGTAAAAGGTGATCTGGGAAATAAGAAAAATAAGTATAATTAACATATGTAGTATGTGCTTATCCMGTATCACTTGGAACTACATTTTTCATCACTGCAAAACCAGCAATACATTATTTAGGCTTAGTAGAGGTGACATAACTGYTCCAGATGTGAGAAATCAAAAGTTAATGGCAGTCAAGGAAATGGATTTGTAAGTCCAGGAAAAAAAAAAAAAGAAGAAAAGGGAAAAAAATAATAATTGAAAGGGACATATTGCCTGTAAAACATGGGGAAAAGGTGTTGTTTTGGTAAAAAGGAAAAGGAAAGGGGCAAGACAAGAGAAAGAAAAGCAAATCTGAGTCTTAGCAGACCATACATTGTCATCCAAACAGTTGATTCTGTTGCCCTTTTCCAGTTGGTGAACAGAGTCTGCTCGTCTGCAGAGTCCCTGAAGGAACGGGCACCATTTCCCTGCCAGCTGAGTGACTGCTAACTTGGGCTGCATTGRGATGGAATGTGGAAACAGCTGAAGGAAGATTACTCAATGGATCAATGCCCTTTATCAAATGAAAGGAAACTAGATGGCAAGAGTTGGCCATCTGCTGCTGCAGAAGTYAAAGAAAGTGGTGCTGGGTTGTTGCAAGCCTTGGGGTACTTGTAACCCTTTTCTCTACAGATTCTTTTGTTGTATACCACCAGGGTAATGAAGCAACACTGCYCTTGCAGGAACTTAGGCTGAGTTGGTGTCTTGTATTCCCACCTGAGAAGCTCATTTAATGGTATGAAGAGCACTGGGGATGATACCACAGGTCTCAGGCAGTGGGTTCTGTGTGAGGAGAAACAATACAGACCCGGAGAAAAGAGACAAGTTGGCWTTGTGGCACTTTGGAGATCCAAGCATGGAAATAGAGCATACTCAACTGCACTCAGGCCACAGAGCTGTAGACTCAGTACAAGAAGGAGCATGGTACACAGCTGTGGGTACACGGATCGCTCTCGCAGCAGCTCTACCACATTCATGATTTTGGTGCCTTTGGTTATGGCCTTTTCCTTCATCAAGTCATCAAATTCTGTGTGATAATTCTCTTCTCCCCAGAGTTGCTTCATGGCTACAGAAGAAACAGAATGAAGTACATTCCTCCATCATCTGATCCACTCAGAATTCCGTGGTTTTTAACTTTTTTAATGATACTAAACATTTGCAGTTGAGTCCATGCTTTGATTCATCAAGAACTGGAAGGAACATCACTTACTGAAACATGGTGAAACTTCCCTGGGCAATGCTGTAGCAGTTAGAGGTAGATCTTAAATATTTCTGATGACTCTGCTTGGTCTGGAGGACTATAATAATGTAATTATAATAACAGAAAAGCCAATCCCTGTTGTTAGTTTCACTTTCTTAGGCGTTATAGTTTATCACACTAAGGATCTAAAATTTTATTTTACCTTTCAAGCAACCAGCTTTGTCTTCTTTTTGCAGCAAGAGATAGGGCGGGGACTCAGGAAAGAATGGCAAAAAGAGCAGTTGAATCAATGCCACCAACCCAGAGAAGGACAATAGCACATTCCACAGGTCTTCAGTTCCTAAAAGATCTCTATGAAAKCATGTTAGAATCTAGTTATAGTTCAGTAAAATTACAGTTTATAATTACTTTGTTATTTTCTAAATTCTAGGCTAGCTAAAGAGACACAAAGTACATACAGACCTTGAAARGTTAAATTGAAATAGATGATGTTTAGGTTAGGGACAGGAAAATAGACTAAAACTTTATTGCTTCTTCAAGACTGAGATTTTTCTTAGAGTTTGTATAATTTCTGAAGGTCAGAATATTCCCTCAGCAGCCCTCTGAACCAATAGTGYAAGTCTGCATGAGGTTATCAAGAAATTAGCAAAAATTTCAGACCTCACAAATTTACTAAGAGTATTTACCTACAATCTTTTCTTATTTACTTCAGCAGAGAAACTGCATCTCCAGAGATGGAGTCATCCTTTCTCAAGAGACAGGCCTTTCTSTCCCCAGGGAATGACATGGAAATCTCAGGGACCTGAATGGAGTAGATGACTCCATCTTGACTGCTGTTGTTAAGCAAAATAAAATCCCACCCTTAGTGTATATCTGTTTCTAGGACTGGGAGAACARCACTTCCCTGCTATATAGAAGAAAAATAAAAATAAAACAGTATGGAAAGGAGTAGCACAAATACCTTAATCCAAGAATTCTTGCTACAGTTTTTCCTAGTGCAAGAAACACTGTGGAGGTCACATTTATAAATCCACGCAACTTCTTAGGTGAGATCTCTCCAGCATACTGTACATGGGCATTCAAATGTATTCCTAAAGGGAGAAGACAGGAGAGTGTAAAAGCTTTAGAAAGAAAGAGAGAGGGTCCTTTCTCAGTTCCCCTTCAGCTCTCTTTTCTCTCTTGTGAACTCTTTCCTATATCTCCTCCACAATAATAGGCTGGAAATGTACCTTTTAAACAAGATGTTAAGCTATTCCATCAGATCTCTCTCTCTGCACAACCTGTTACCTCATCTTACCTTGCCCCAATCTGTTCCTTGTTCCACTGGGTTACTGCACATTCTTGAGTATGCCCAAAGGAAGATTTCTGTGTCCACCCCAAAGTCMCATTAACATGGAGTAGAGGGGAGCCCTACCAGCACCAATGCCCTCGAGGAAGCGCCCAACCAGGATCATCTCAAAAGACTTGGCTCTCCTACTGAAGCCAGTGTTCAGTGTGGCTGTTATTAGGATCACATCGTTGAACAGTAGACATTTCTTCCTGCAACAGCAAACAGCACGTGGGCATGATCCATGTTTCCCTTTTTCTTCTTTGAACTAATGTCTGATTGTTCTCTAGATTTACAGACCAAACCCATGGCCATGTTTAAACCCACATCTTATAGGACAACCACATCTGGTTATAAAAAAAATGATGTCTTTGCAGAGGAGTGGAAAGGGAGAARCTAGATTCCTGTTACTTGCAATGTGAGCAAACCATGAGGCTGGTGAGCTCCAGCAGGATAAAATGTCAGCAAAAATTCAGGAATTGTATGGCAACAAAAGCTGTGACAAGGGAATCAGAAATATCTGCATGTTTTTGTCTCTCCAGTGCACCCAAATGTAGTTTTAGATGCCAGGTAAATTCAGCGGCAGCAGGGGGCAGTGAGATTCTGGTGTCCCTTCTRTTAGCTGAATGACATTTAATTGCTTCCCCTGTTGCAGCCCTGAGTAGCGAGATGCTGGGAAATATACTTACTTTCCAAATTTTGCAGCCAGGTACCCACTACACAGACACCCAATCATCCCACCTACACAGTACACAGACACAATGAGGGACCACAGTAATGTCAGGGTCTCCTGAGGCAGCACAGAACCGTATCGCTCCAGCCAAGTTTCGTTGATAAACTTCTGAATGTACTGGGACAGAAAAAGAGATTTTCGTTACACCAAGGTACTAGTCAGAATGTTCTTCATGATGTTTACTATTTTAAAATATTGGATTAATAGTCATGACTAAAAGTGTAACTATAAGACACTCATTTGCAAATTAGGATTCATATTTCCTCTCATACAGCCTAATAGTGTAAGAGAATCTTTCAAAAATAATTCTACTCTTTATTGTGTTGAATCCTATCTCTCCTACACCAAAAAATTAGGACCTTTTATTCATTATAATGAAGTGTAAATGTTCTTATTGCTGGTTGTGGATATAAAGAGAAAAGGGCTGAGCTGAAGGCTGCCTCCATCAGCTAGTTGTTTTTTTGGGGTTTTTTTTTTTTTTTCTCCATGGCATAAACTTTAAGGAGGTATCTCAATATGTTGTTTCCACACAATTCTGTGGGAAGCTGTCTTTGGAGCACAGCTCCTGGTAATCATGCAAAATTTGACAGTGACAGCATAGCATTGGAAAGAGTTGGGAATAAACGGATACAGAGACACCTAAGAGCTTTTGTAGAGCATCTGCAAAGTGTAAGGCCTAGAACCATGAGGAACAGTTAGAGATGTGATTTTTTTCCCTCCAGCTTTGCTTACTGGAGAAGTATAATTGATCACAGCCATTTGAAAACCAGTCAGGTGTGTTCCACCAATTCCCAGCACCACAATCATTAGCAATAGCTTCCGGTATTGAACCTGCCAAAGAGAATGAAACACATCCTGAGTTTCTGATACCAGTACGGCTTTCAGACCATGAGATAATTGACAGGAATCTATATATTCACATTCTGATGATTAAGAAACCTTTAAAATCCAAAACCCATCTTGAATTTTTCAATAATCAAGCAAAATGCATGGGAAATTGTTAAAATACAAATCTGCACATTCCACTCTGTTCCTTTCCTGGTTATTAGCAATCTGAAAAGACATATTCTCTAATTCTAATTTGTGTTTACCTTTGTACTAGAAAAAAGCTACAGATTTCTTGAATTCCTTTTTGCTTTCACCTTTGAGTGCTGCGTTTCTATGATATACACCAAATTTCAGAGCTTTCCTCTCAAGCACGTATGTTTTCAGGCATTCAGCCAGGTCACACTCAAAACTGATAAACATCCTCAGTTATCCTTGAGAGTGCAGAGCAGTAAACCGGGAGGATTTTTTCTATTTTGTCTTTTTCACTGATACTATTTTCTCTATCTTCCCCAAAATTCCCATCTTTCCTGGTTTCCCAGTTCTCTTTTAAATCTCTCACTATTTTGCACTTTCCACAGATGCCATGTAGTCAGCCTTATTGCTGAACCAGTGTTGTCCCATACACATGCTCTGTTGCTCACTTCTATTACAAGAAAGACTGTTTGATTCCCTTCCCTCATCTTTAAAGATCATGCTGCTGGTGAYCAGGGTTAGAATACAAGAAATTGGATACTCACCAGGTCTGAGAGGAAACCAGCCATTTCCCCTTGAAACCCTGCCCACTCTGAGAGCGCTGGTCAAGCCTGATAGATGAGAGAGATGGCTTCTCTACTGAGATTGCAAGAGCTTGGRATCGTAGCACAGAAGTTAAATTCTAACTATGTGGCTTTAGTGAATTGTRTCCTCCCCTGACACTGACCAGGGCCTCTTCTCGCTGGTTTAATTATTCTAAGACCCAGATATGACGAGCTGATTACACCACTGGTAAATATTTATCCTTCTTGATTTGGGAGCTGTGCCCCTTACTCACACTGCTAAAACACCTGTGTGTTCCTGTTGTTGAGGAGACAGACAGACAGTGCTACCATCTTCCCTTCATGGGAGCAGTCCCTCTTCACCTCTGACAAGYAGCTTAGGCAGGGAATATTTTCTTCTCTTCCAGTCTACAACAGCCCTTTGGAATTGTAGCTGAGCCCTAATGTCTCTTCTTGCCTGCTGTAAGATTTACAATTGCTTGAAMAATTTCGCAGGTGCAGGAAATGAAGAATTGGAATATTGGCATTTTGTGACCTTGCTRACACCCAGCTCTTTATAGAGGGTTACAGTCATTCCAAAACCACTCAGAAACCTCACTCTTTCCTCTCTGTAATAGTGGAATTGACCCACTGTGTGTCAGAATGAGATACCAAACCTCAGTGGGTAAGGAGCTGATGAGTCTGGAGGAACTAGAATTCTCAACTAGAACTCAATTCTCTTTGAGCTGAGAATGGCAGCTCTGGACCTTTCTGGAGAGGTTTTTAGATGCTGTATTTTGCCAGTTTTAAACATCTGGTTGATCAAACAGTCCCTGCAAAGTCCTGTTTTTGTCTGTGTTTCTCCTAGAGTATTCTTACTGCTGTCTCATTTTCATCTGGCCYCACACTTTTGTTCTGTGCTATATGRTGGAAAAAGTGAGCCTTAAATGCCTGGTATAGTTCTCATTTATTTTCCTAACAAGGAGGACAAGATGAATCTTTCAACTTAGGATTTGAACACTGCAAGAAATGTGCTTTTCCCAGACCCAATATGGAGTTCACCCACTCCCCTGGACTTGGAGGGATTTTGTCTTCAAAGATGCCTCAAGTTGCACTTGTRTGATCCTGGATCCTACACTGCAGATTCACAAGTACCTCTTTCACCTTTATTCCCAGTCCATAATAGTTTATGGCAGTGTTAATGATTTACCAYACTTTCCTTTTTGTGGACAGCATTTAGTAAGAGGGAAGCAGTAAGGCAGGTTGAACAAGATCATGCTGTACCAAGACACGTCTAAGGAATTGAGTTTTTAATGTCTTGTAAGACAGTAAAAACTTCCTCATTGGGAACCCGTAAGTTTGAGAAAGACCAAACCAAATGAAGACCTTTAAATAATCAAGGTCTTACCTAATATTTTCTTTTCATAATACTTCAAATACTTCTTTTCTTTTCCCTGCATTTTTGACCAGAAGGAATGTATGCTGGTTCTTAATGTGGTACTGTGCAAACTGTGATCTCAAGCCCTGAAACAATCAACTTTATCTATCTTTTTTTTGTAAGATGATGATTGTCATAGGAAGGATGACTGCACTGGGGAGTCCCTGGCTCCTGGCATTAGCTTTTGGCACTGCTACAAATTCTGTTAGAGAATGATGGGAAGATAAAATGAGAAGCCTTAGGGCTGTGAAAGAAACTGCCGCTCAATATTCAGATCCTTTTGCAAAATTTATTGTGCARCATCTGCATCAGTGAAGATCTCATCTCCAGAACAAGACAGACACAGTATTCCTTAACCCCAACAACACCATCCCAAAAGATGAGCTCTCCTCTGTCCCTAACTCTTCATTCAATGAAAACCAAACCCAGGCACAATGAGAAGGATGTCTTTTCCTAGTCATTGCCTTTTATTTCCTTATCAGTAAACTGTAAAGCATTAAGAAGACCAAAAAATTGTCATGTCATATAGCAATGAATACAAATGAGAAGCCCTTTTAACCAGGTTTTGTAACGAAACCATAAAGTATTTCTAGACCTGGAGAGAGAAGCAAACACTCACACATACTGATTGGGCTTTCCAGGAGAGGTGTCCCTCTTTTCTGTCTCGTCAGTACCAATTACTCTCAGGAGCTCAATCCCATTGAAATGCAGTGTTCTCCAGGCTGAAGACACATTACATACACATTGTTAACGAAGAAGGAGGATCTGCCCACTGGATTTGCCCAGTCATGATTTCCTGCAGCTCTGCTTTCTTCGCTCATGCTTTCTTTCAGTGCTGACATAACCCTGTTTTATCCCAATACAGGAATCTCCAAAATTGTAAATGTAGGGGGCACATTGCATATCGATTCTATCTTCTGATAGGCAWGGCACTTTTCTTCCACTGGATTGAAGAGCTAAACATCTCTTTTCCTCTGGACTGAAGCCTCTTCTCTGGGAAAGCTCATCAGCACTGACTTGTTAATAGGAGCAGATAACTTCAGTGTCAAAACTCTGTCTTCTCTGCAAGCCTGCTGTACCTCTGGACCTTCCAGACTCACTTCTTCCAGCTGTAGAGTCCCGGTTTTGCCAAGAAAATAACAGGTCCTGTGTTTTCAGTTTACAACTGCAAGCTTGGAGAGACTGACAAAGATCTTATTTCTCTATACCCTGTGTTAATTGTTTTTCTGCAGAGGAATTAATTCAGCTCATATTTCAGGAGCTGGAGAGAACCACCCAGTTCATCCTGCACCCTGCATTGCAGGTGATCTTTTTGGGGATCTATGGATTCAGTCCTGTTTAGTGAGTTTYTGAGCACTACAGTAACAAAAGAGCAAAATATGAAGTGGAGGGTTTGTTCTTAAAGCCTAGTTACATTAATCACTGAGCAGTTACTCTGCTGTAGTGCTGCCTGTCCCTTCTTTCCACGGTAGTTCAGGCGGTTGAACTCCTCCATGACCTGCAGCATGGTCTTTCCTTTTGTCTCTGGCAGCACCAGGAATACATAAAAAGCCATGGAGAGGCAGTATGACAGAAAAATGATGAAACAGAAATTACCAAGACCTTCCTAYAGGAAAACAAAGAGACAAAATACGTTCATAAAAATTTATACTGATTTCTTTCTTTTCTGATATAGAGTTTCTGGATTTTTATTTACTAAAAGAACTTGGTCAGAAACTTAGTTGATATAAATCGTGCTTCAAATGACATCTGACAGTGTTGGTGGCTCGATCACTGTGTCTGTTTGCCAATGTCACACTCTATACACACTTAGAGTTAGAAGCATTTTGTAGGTTTGTTACACTTCCAGTAGATACTTGGATAAAAAGGAAGAGGCCATCAGAACTGCAATTAAAGTGACCTCTTTCCATTGCATGAAGCATTGAAAAGAGAAGCATGCTCTGGCTTCAAGAGGGATCTAGCTTCCTCTGAACTGAAATAAACACCCTACTTTGCTTACCACAATGAAYGGGAACAAAAGTCCAAGGATGAAGAGTTGGATCCAGTTCGAAACACCATTGAAAACGTAAGCAGCTGGTCTGTATGACTGAATAAATATTTCTGTGAGCAAGGGGCACAGTACTCCAGCTGAAAAAAATTATGGAGAAAAAAAAAAAGGAAACTTAGAAGTTTTGCAAGATGCTTCTGTAGCTCATTCTTCATATTGCTGCATAAGTTCATGGTTTTAACTGGCCTGGAAATGTCTGAGGTGCTGCTTGGGTCCTCAGGAAGGAGGCATGTAGGAATGCAATAGGAAACGGATTTCACCTCCTACCATAGTATAGAAAGGGAGGGGAAACCATAGGAGGGAAATATCTATGCCTGCACTGAATCAGGAGTAGGGATTCAAGCCTACTGTGGAACAGCTATGCCTGGGATCTCTCCTAAGGGCTGCAGTGAAGAAGAAATGACTGAATAAATGAAACCATTAAAACAGAAAATACCAACCTGGCCCAATGCCAAAGCTCATGATGAAAATAAAGACAAGTGCAACAGAGCAGTATGGTACCCAGAAAAAGGAGTCCTGTGGTAGGAAATGAAAAGCAATAGAATTAGAAATTAAAATTTTATTCATCCAGCTCCATTAGAAATATTCATCACTGTTGTCAATGTTTAACATAAACCTATTTCCTCTACTTCCAAAATTTTCATGAGGATTTAGTCTTAGCAGTGATCTTGGTTGTCTGAAACCACTGTCTTTAATCCATATGTACATGTCTGGGGGCAGGCCGATGCTAATATGATGGTTAGCCTCAAAAATACTTCTACTCCCTAAAAAGCGATTTGAGGAGAGGGAAATTGTCATGATATCTGCTACACAATAAAAATAAAACATGAACACAGTTTTAATGCATCAAYGGTATCTTACCTGTAGGAAGAGGGTGACTGTGAGGAGCCCTAGAGCCAAGGCCATCACAGTGTARTTTTTCCACAGCAGTGTCTTCCTCCCTGCACGCTCAATGAGGAGACCCTGCAAACAGGAGGATGCTGCTGACTCCAAAGGACAGACCAAAGGCAGGCACTGGGGAGCTGCCTCAGTATCTGCCTTCACTGGCCACGCAGGGAATTGCTGGAGGACTGGGGACCAGGACGTGGTGCCTTCTCTGGGAGGGTGAGTAAAATCATCTGGGGGGACTGAGCAGGACCAGGAGCTGCAGGGAGGAGCAGCAAGTGGGGAGGTGCAGGGCTGCAGGGAGCATTGTCTGGGCAGAGGAGGTCAGAGGTGACGTTCTGCAGGCAAAGAGAGCCAGGCAGGAGAGCAGAGGGGGGATGCTTACACTGTTAATTGCTGTGATTCCTACAGCCCTGAGTCCTACTGAAAAATAGCATCTGCTTTTCCTCCAGGACACAACTGGGACTCCTGAGACAGCTCCAGAATGGGTCATGATTCTGACAGAAAGACTCTCCTCTCTTCCCAGAAATTGAATAGAAATGCCCATGTTTGCAGGGTGTAGGGAGAGCATTTTATGTGATCAGGTCCATGGTGCATTCATTGCAAAAATTTGATTCCTGAAGCTCTTTACAGTATTTGTAAATATCAAAATGAATCATATATCACAGCAGAACAAAATTCAGCTGAAGAGCCACTTACACACAGGACTGTGGAGAGGATCTCAGTGATCCCAATCCCCAGYGACACATAGTGGGTTTGAGCAGGGGGGATTCCAGCCTTTGTAAAGATACTGTATGCATAAGAGTAAACCTGGAAAGAATAGAAATTTGTGAAAGATGTACACATGTGGCCATGTTTACACTAGCTTCTGTCTTTTTGGACAGAAAATAACCAGGCCTTAACAAAACAGAAAATCATCTTACCAGAACAAGGTAATCCATAGAAATGCCTTCAGAAGACACTTGTTAAAACACAGCTCTCAACTTAGCCCAGGACAGAAACATCCATGGGAAAAGATTGTAATAAACAGTAACAACAGATCCCTTCTTACAGTCACTGTTGCAGTCATTGACAACTCCTTGCAGAGCTTACTTTTGCTGAGAATGCAGAGAGCAGAGCAAAGCCGAGCACGTACCACATTGGCCCCGATGAGCTGCATGCACGAGACGACAAGGAAGAGAGTGATGACCTGCCAGCGCACAGCTCTGTCACGGAGCAGATCCCAAACACTCTTTGCCTTCTCCCCACGGATGGCTTTTTGCTCTGACATCATGTCATCTATTTCAGCCATATGGTCTCCATCTCCCCAGAGCTGCTTCAGAGCTAGAAGGAGAGAAGGAGAGATGACCAAACTCCCCAGCACAGACATCAATTCTGCTTTGCAGAGTTCTTGTTAGAACATCATGATCTTTTCGTGTGTTACCTTCCTAGAGATCTGGGTTCAGATATGACACAGATCTAGTTCATTGTTATCTGTTTTTACCCATAAACATTAATCACCTTTGGCCAATAGGTGCTGACAGTCTTTCAATGTAAGTCACACCTGAAGGCTTACCAATCGTTCCCTGAATATGYTCCTGCTAAGGTGCAGCTATAGTGCACACTCCAAAACACAGACAAGGTAAATGACTCCTAAATACAGAAAATAAATTTACATCCAACAAGTTCTCTCTTTTGATAGTTAAACCCCCACAATGGCTGTTTCTCTGTTTCTGTCAGTAGCTGCTSTTAGGGTTACCAAAGAACTGGAATGCTTACAGATACAGCATGACAGTACAGAGCCCCTCTTCCTCACTCAGAGAATGGACTACATCCGTACTCTGACTGTTCAGGGCAGAATTGTATTGATGGAAATACAAGCTCTGTGTGATCACATCCTGTGGAGGACCCTGGCAGAGGATAAGGAAATACCAGTGCCAAGAGAGCACTAATATGCAAACAGAAGAGGCTGACTTTCACTAAAGCTGAAGGTAGTTTCAGAGCCCAAGGACAAAGAGTCTTTTTGCCACCTGCATTTCTCATCCAGGTTCATCTGGGGCTTTACTGTATTTTCCCCTTTTTTTCTGAAATGAATGCTTTGTGGCCCATTTCCATACCTTTGATGCATCCCTCCTTGTCCTTCTTGTCAATGAGCAGGTAGCGGGGAGAGTCTGGGAAGAAGGGGAGGGTGAGAAGCTGAACGAGGGAAGGGATCACATTGGCTGTCAGGAGAATTGGCCAGAGAGCCTCCACTCCGAGAACTTCTCTGGAACAAAACCAGCAGAGAGAGGGGCTGAGGAACCATGTGTGCTGGCCAGGTGAGCACACACAGACACAGGTCAGCCCTGATGCACGTGGCCTGGCAGCTCCCACCCAGGAGCCTTCAGCAGGGAGTGCAGAAGGCCTTTGCACATGAGTTGCACAGTGTTGGCACGGGCTGCTCAGTGCTGGGCACAGCAAGGCCACCTGTACCTCCTGCAGCAGCTGCATGCTCACAGGGAACAGCAGTCCCAGCACAAGCACTGCAGCAAGAACCTGCAGGGGCTGATCCCTCTGCCTCTGATCCAAATAGACTCACATTACAATTAGTACAAGATTGTGAGTTAGCAGCCTGGTACCAACTGCCCCAAACAGCAGCCMCTGGGCACAGGTGTGCACTGATATATGCATATATTTCAATAACAGAATGAACTGAGTATGTTTCAGACTGTCTTACCTGAGACCCAGTGCAAATCCTACGAATTTTCCAGCAGCAATGGAGGTAGAAGCTGTAATGGCAATCAGCCCGCGGATCTTCCGTGGAGCACATTCCCCAGCATACATGATATGGATATTCAGAGCTAAACCTGCAGTGACAAAGGACTCTTAGGGCAAAATCCACACAGCTCTGGTGTTTTGGAGGGGGCATTGTGAACAGCGCCTATAGGGGCTGGCTCTGAGATACCTTTTTATCTGTGCTGAGGATGTGGCTGCCTCATATGAAGCATGTGCCCCAGACCGTGGCCTTGTGCCTTTGCTAAATATTTCACTAAGCAAGAATGTGCCCCTGGGAAATCTGTCCTAAGGCAGGCTGGCCTTCTCTTACATTATTCCTGCAGCCACATGTACAGGACTGTGGTTACTCCCTTTAGTCTCAAATGAAATATTCCAGTGGTTATTCRGATACTATGTGCCTTATTTTGTGCTTGAAACCAACAAGCTGGCAAATGCTGAACATCCTAGCTGTTCAGTGAATTAATTTTATTCTCTAATTTTTTTTTTTGTTGTTGTTGGTTAGTATGATCTTTATCCAACTGCTCAGGGATCAAGAGCACTGGCGGAATGTAACCTTCTGAGGCATCTGGAAATTAGAATTGAAAATTCTAATTGAATTGGCTTGAAAACCATTTCCTTGTCTGTAATAGGGKGGGCTGCATCAGTCACAGCAAGAARCAACAGGAACAACAGGGGTCGCTCTAAGCGAGCATGCTACCCTGAAATAGTGCATGTTTTGGCTTTTTCAGAAGTTGGCAGTACCAACTGGATGTAAAGATAGAAGAAACAGAAATGGAGGTGTTAGAAATTAATAATTCAATTATGTTTGTGATATCTTATTTAGTTAAAAATGCATTCAGGAATCGTGTCCTCTGCACAGTGCAGTAAAAATCTGTTATCCATTTACTCCGGCTGGTCAATCCCGGTCACTGCTCTTTCCACTATTTAATGCCATAGGTAGGAATGCCARCTTACCTCCACACATGCCAGAAAACAACCGTCCAGCAATGATCATCTCAAAGGATCCACACAGCCGGCTGAGTCCCAGCAGAGCTGCACCCAGCAGAGCAGGGATGTTGGCAAACAGCATGGCCTTCTTCCTGGAATTCATTCAAATTAATGTGAGCACAAATGTTATCCCTGTGTCAGGCACAGTCTGACAGGAGTGGTGTAATCACTCTTCCTACCTTCCAAATCTTACAGATAAATATCCAGCAGACGAGGAACCCAGAAGCCCACCGATGCTGTAAATGGACACAATAAAGGACCACATCAAAGTGATCACTTCTGCACTGGGAGAAGAGCCATATCTCTTCAGCCAGGTCTCATTGATGAAACCTTTGATGTACTTTAAAAGAAAAAAAGAAACCAGTGGTCTCAGTCAACAGAATTGCAYCTTTTTTTTTAGTTCTATTAACTATTTACTGCTCTTCTTGATACATTTCTATGGATACTTTGATTGAAATCTTAGCCCCAATGAAATAAATAGGAGTTTTGCCRTTAACATCCATGGAGTTAAAGTTTTAGCAATGAGATCCAATGAATAAATATATCAATAGTAAATATCAGCAGTGAATGGCAGTAAGAGAACGGTAGGTTGGTCTTCTGTTTTTGTGCTAAACCCTGATTGGTTTGCTACCTGATCTTTTCCCACCATTCTCACCTGCTTGTGGTAATACTATGAGCCAAGTAACCTTGGTACCATCCAGGATGACAAACACCTTCCCTAATTTTCCTTTTCTGGCTACAGGTATCAGTGCTGACCTCAGGTCTAGAGCTACAGTCCTTCCCTGTGCTATTTCACCTTACAGCCACTTGGAAATAGTGTGTGTGGTCAAGCACATAGTACAAGGGACTCCCTGAGCAATGCAGAGAGGAAAACACCCTGGGAGCAATTCAGCTCAGTAAGGCAAAACCAGATGACTTTATGGAAATCATTCATCCTCCTTTTCCCAGTTCTGTCACATCAGACAAGTGAAAACCCCATGAAACACAACAGCAGTAGCAGCCACTCTTAGAACTAAGAAACCACAATAAGTCTAATTTTGAAAGCAGAAGTWAAAAGGTTAAACATTGCATATGGAGGCATGAATGCCTGAGAACAGTGAAATCCTGGTAGCTCACTCTTTGAGCTCTCTACGCTTACCTCAGCAGGAGAATTGATAATGGAGACTTGCAATCCATACTGGAAAGCTCCAGTAATGCCCAGGACAAAAGCCAGGAGAAAAAGGTTGTAGCTCATTTTCTTGCAGGAAATAAAAACAGTAAACAAACTGGTCCAGCTATTCAGACACTCCAAATGTCCTRTGTTTTCCTTGGGAGCTCTAACAGTTTGAGCAGTGGCACACACTTGCCTCCTCCGAGAGCAAGGAGCCAGCAATAGGAAACCACAGGGCAGTGAGAACTCTGAGTAGAAACAAAGCTCACAGCTGCCTGCCAGAACCCAGTTACACACTTCAGTGCTTCTGTCTTCAGCTTTRGCCATCTTAATCTGCACTGTCGTAGGTAACTAGTTGTGGGAGCATGGGGCAATGTGCAAACATTTTGTGAACAATTCCATTTATTTCTCCTTTCTCCTCCTTCTTTCCCACTTGTTATCTCACCTAAATGAATATTTTGCTTYGTGACTTGACTGAGACTAGATAAACATTTGGGGATTGAAGTACATTCTTGATTTCATAGTTTATTCACCCTTTCTTAGAACTATCTGATAGAAGGCTTGAGAATACAGGAGTGCAATATATGTACCATAACTCCTCCCATTCCCACTGCTCCCTGTGACTGACTGTCCTAAGGATATTCTGCAGTGAGAGCATGATGCTGCACTTCTTTGCCTAGAACAGCTCATATTCAAACAATGCCTGCCAAACATTTATTAGCTGATTTCTAATCAGGGGAATGCCATTGCTTAAAGTGGCATAAAATCTCTCCATACCAACTTGCATGCAAAGGTAGTCACCCSTGCTTCCAGTCTAGATCTTGCCTGACGCTTTCTTTGGTTGCTTTGGGGAAAGCTCCTCTATGTATCTCTATATAGAGGAGCCTGAGACAATATCTCAATGCGTCATTTTGTTCTTTCTCGGTGTTTACACTCCCTTTGGTTTGTCATGAAGTTCTTGCTGTTGGGTTTGTCGTTACAGTGTTGGTTACTGCTGAAACTTTGGGCAGTGTTGGAGAGCTGTGTACTCCTGCCAGGTCTCTCCAGCAGCTGTGGACAGGAAGGGCTGAGGGAGGTGAGTGAAGGATGACAAAAGCACTGATTGAAGTCCAAGTCCAAGGACTGGCACAAACTAGAGTGGACTGGCTTGGACTCCTCAAGTCATGGGCTGGATAATCAATTATCACATTCAAAGGGAAAGTCCTGACTGCTACCTTGAGCCTCAATTCAGCAAAGCCTTTTGAAGCCCAACTTGGCCAAACCTGACCATGCCTGTGCATCCAACTCTTGAATTACCTGTTGACAGATTAATTGGCTCTTCAASAGAAATGGTCATTGGCTGAAAGTTCAAGTCTGTGTCTCTCTACTGTGAGRCAGATGCTAAGAAAGCTGAATGTCACTTTTAAATCCTGACTTCAAATCTTCCCTTTTATCCATAATTCTCAAAGGGCCTTTTTATCTAGCATTGTCCAAGATGGTTCTGTTAAAAGGCTTTTTGACAAGTTATTCAAACAGCCTGGGGAGCATTCCTTCTCCTAGTGAGTGGCTGCCTTTGGTGGTTGCACAGGCTAGGATCCTGTRTGTGTTTGGAAGAATCCCAACCCCAGCTGCTTTGGAAGTGAGATCTGGCTTGTGCAGAGGAGCAGTGTTTGAGGATAGCAGCAGTAACTAATTTTCTCTAGTGTTGACGGTTATTAATCAATTCAGCAGTATCTAATTATTTGATTTGCAAACAGTAATATTAGCTGTGAGTCTCTGAGGGTCACTTTTCAAAACGTGATTTTGCCTTACACTTCACATGAAAATGTGAACACGTGTCATCGATTTTTCAGTTGAAGGTGTTTTAATTCAGTATCAATTAACCAACTTGTTAAACACTTCAATTAAAATGTAACAGTTTAGACCAACTGAAATGTAACCACTGTTTTATTTGCTTAATCAGACTCCTGATTTCAGGTCACAGTCAGAAAAAAAATGCTGAAAGCTGGAATTAGTGCTTTCTGCTACATGTACTCACAGGACTGGTTCCAAAAGTCAGGAAGTCAAGTAAATGTGTATCATTTCTGAACAAGCATGTTTCATACTGGCAGGTGCAGATGGCCACTGTCCTTCCAGGGCTCTGGGAAAAGGCACAGTCCTGACTCAGGGGAGCAGCCACAGAACTGGCCAAGGTGGCAACCTCTGGACACTGGGGGATTCTCTCTTTCTGACCTGTATGTTCCAGCAGGGTGTGCCAGGCCTCTCCCTCTGCCCAGGCAGCCTCTTCAGTCCATCCCTGCTTTCTGCCCTGCATGCCCTCTATTGATTTGCTTCACTTCTTCACTCTTCTTTGCTTCACTTCTATCTTTTGTCCTTTCTCTGGTCCTCATCAAAGGAATGACAGAATATTCTGCTACCATCATGATGACAGACTTTATGTTTCACTCTTTCCATCTGCCCCTCACTGCTCTCTCCAAACTATACTAATGAAAAATATCTTTTCAGTTGCCAGTTCTGTGAAGTCCTTCTTTTGATAGTCTTATCCCAAAATCCTGCATACTCCAAAATCTCAGTGTTTTCCAAGAACAGAGGTRGCTGCTCTTGTCCATGTCTATATATTAATGACTTCTAAAATAGCAGCAACCACAAAGAAACAAAAGTTTACCTTTATTTTTCATAACTTATAAACTTTGGGCCATGAARGAGAGTTCTTGCACAAACTTCTCTTCTGAGAAAGAGATCTGCTGCTCCACTCGTGTGCAGAAAGACAGTAATACACTCCAGAAATGTTTACAGTCTTTTTATTCAAAAAAGCTGTATTTTTCTTAAAAATGTAGTTAAAAACACACTGAAAGAAATTTTACCTGCTTATTTTGAAAATATACATGTTCTTTGGAGAAAATATGAGCAGTGCTGTGACTTTCACACRAAGTCAGAAGAAAAGAGGTGGCTTGGTTATGTCTTTGAGAAGAAACTGGAAGAAACTTAACCAGTCAGGCCAATGCATGTGAAAAGTCATATTAAACAAGAAGTGTTGCCCTGTTGTGTATCAGGTTAACTAARGAGAATCAATGTCACATCTGGGTCTTTGCCAATGTGCTTTATGGAGACAACAAGGACATGCAGCAGAGGATTTTGTGGTGTGGTCTAAAGATCCACACCCAAAAGAAGCTGCTTCCATACAAGCTCCTCACTGCACACAACCTTAGCAGAGCATAGGTGCAAAACCCTACAACATGCAGCAGAGCAGTACAAACTGGACTGGGGAATCACATGTGCTTTGCAACATAGGACTGGAAGACTACAAACAAACCATGAAGAAAACCAGTCCAGGATAAATAGTCTGCAAAACAATGCCCAAAATCTGTTGTATAATAAGCCACTTAGCAAGTACCAGAAGCTTTCTTTTTAATCCATCTGTCACATGTTTTTATAGCTGAAAATAATTAACTGCTCACTATTGCTCAACAAGTAGGGGTCTATTTGAAATCACTTAATAACAAAAACCATGGGAGCACCAAGACAAGGTACTGAAAATTTCATCTGGTGTCTGAAAACAGAATTTAATCGCATTAATTTCTGTGTTAGAAAGCCCAGATTCAGAGGCAAGGAAAAAAGGACTTCTGAGATGGAAGTTACTGTTTGGAGAAATTCTGAAGAAATTTTCTAAAGTATTACATGGTGTTGTATGATGATAAGAGAATAAGGCAGCACTGATACTCTTTGAAATGGATACTAAAATATGAATATGTTACACAATACTAAAAACTGAGAACAGATTATTAAACTTYTGTTTGGATTTATCAGTTCAAGTGTATGTTTTCATGGTGAACTCAAGAATCTAAGAGTAATATATTGCCCCTAACCATACTTATCTCTTTGTGTCCCTACAAGGGCACATAGCCTCTGCTGAATTCACTGCAGAATTCCCCCAAATACCATCTTCCTTTCTTCTGCTACAATGTGGTGGTTTTGATCTCCTCAGGGCCTTTATAAAAACCTGCACGGGTCTTGGTTCTGAAGTTCCGTTTCCTGAACTCCTCCGAGATTTCCAGGAAGGACTTTCCCTTTGTCTCAGGAAGGAAAAACCAAACGTAGAGGGCAGTGCAGACACAGACCACAAGGAATGGGATGTAGCAGAAATGTGCTAGACTTTTCTGAGGAGGAGGAAAATACAAGACAGTGTTAGTGACATCATGTACAATGACAAATAGGCCATTAGTTCCTCTTCCTGAATGAACCAGGGTCACCCAGGGAGGATTTCTGTGCACCCTCGTGGGGTCTCACAGGCCTGGATGCAACAGCTTCCCAGCATAGATTGGGAGAYTTGACATAGCAAGAACAGTATTTTGAAATTTSTTTTTCTGTCTTTCTCTCTATGTAYAATTGTGCAGAATGGCAGCCCTCAKCAGGAAACAGGACAGGAATGTATATTGTRGAGTTCTGCTCCCTTTTKCTTCAGGGAKCATCTTAGGGAATGGTGAAGGGAAGTTACATCCCRTCTTTAGTTYCAGCTGTTCTCAACTGAGGACAGAGGAAGAATAATGGCCATCCACGCCTCAAATTAATCTGCTGCGAACCTCAAATCAGAAATCACCATAGGGAACACAGAGAAAGTTTGATTTGGATGAATCTTGGCCATTTTCCTCTAAAAGGCACTTTTCATAGAAGTGCTATCTTGCTCTTGTCATATTCTCTTTTCCTGGTCACTATCAGAGCCTCTTTCTTGTACAGAACATTAAAGAGCTGCTTTGCTTTGGGAACGCACCACAATGAATGGAAAGGCTGTTCCAACCAGAAACAGGTTGAACCAGAGCAGGGAGCCACAGATCATGTAAGCAGCTGGTCGGGACATTTGATCAAAAACCTCTGTGGGCAGAACTCCTGTTACACCAGCTGGAAAAGAAAATGGCAAGGAAGTTAATATTGTTGACATCACATTAAAAATGARATAACATATCTTAACAAGAAAACCCAACATGAAGTGTAAGAGGTGAATTTTTAGGTTAAATATTAAGGACTGGCTAATTATTCAAACTTTCTCATGTTGGAATGARCTGCCAAGAAGTTTTGTAATCCACWTTATTCTTGCCAGGACCCAAKGGTGAGAAAAGCTTATAATTAATTCAACCCCATGGCACTGTAGGGACTGGGACAAGAAAGTATTGCCAACCTGTGTGGCATGGGACACTGGCAGCTTGGTTCTATTYTTACCTACCTTCCTTCAAACTCATGTGAGCAAACAAGAGTTTCACATCTACTCACTCACCATGCAAACATCCACAACAGCCTGTGTATTGCCCACCCCCCAGAAACTAACAGTTTCTGCCAAGAAAAGGCACATTAGCAGGCTAACAAATAGATGTGGAAATTGTGCTTCCAGATATCTGCAAGAAAATAATCAGATGGCATAGCTGACAATGGTTTACAGCSCTAATGGATTAGTCAGCAAATCAAAACCTCGTCATCTATTTAAGCCAAGAATCACTCCCAAGTGCCTTGGCCTAATAACCAGGATGACTGTGAAGGGGAACAACACATAGAGAAAAGGGCACAGCCTGGCCCTGCACAACACTGACTCACTGGGGCATGCAAGCCCCTAGGAAACAGTCAAACACCACAGGCAGGAATTGCCTCATTCCTTTGAGGGCTGTAGCTAAAGAGGGTCTGAGAGTTTCCATAAGCTGCCTGCACACATCTCCAAGCCCCTGCAGTACCCAAAAGTTTCACTGAAAACACTGAGGGAACTGACCTGGTCCGATTCCAAAGCTCAGGATATAGGCGAAAATGCAGGCCATGCTGAGATAAGGCATCCAGCTAATCTGAGTCTACAGCCACAGAGACCAAYGGAAAACCAGTGAGGGCACTTACACTTATTTGCCACCACTGAAYACCCCAGTCATATAAAAGGCAAAGCCCAACTCCATTCTACTTAAATATTTAAGTAAAGTTTGTTACCTGCTGGCTCAGAGCGACCATGAAGACAATGGCCCATCCTGCCATGAAGATATATCCCCCCAGSAGCAGTGGCCTCCGACCAGCGTAGTCTATAATCATGTTCTGCACAAAGTAACACAGTGAAATAAAGCAAGATATTCAACCTGTGTTTATATTTCTTGCTTTTTTCTCTTCACATTTCAATACTCCATGCCTAGTTTGCCCTACAGTAACTTTCAGGATGTTGTCTGCTTCATAGCAAAAAAAAGGTGATAAGAACGGTCTGGAGGCAGGAGTCAGGCAAGGAAGGTGCTCAGGGGAGATGAGAATGTCCCAGCTGCACCTAAACTCTGCCACTGTCCRTAGGGACACAAAGCATGAGAGTTACACTTCACAGAGATTTCMGAGTGTAATGGCAATGCAACATCTGACCAAATACTTCTGCATTAACCTATCCCACTGTGGGTCCTGACAGACAACCTGGCTGCTGCACTTCAAGGGCTTCCTTGGCATGAAAAGCAATGTAACCCCCAAATTTGTAAGGAATAGCCTCCTCCCTGCCAACAGAGGCTGCACATCACCAGAGTGCACTGAGTGTCTCACACAAGTGACAGATGTGATCAGTTCACAGCTTCCCGTGCCGATTACAACATAGGGGATTTTGTCCTGAGGAATTCCAGCCTCTTGGAACACATAAGCTGCATAAAAATACATCTGTGGAGAGAAGAAAGGAGAAAGCAGCAAGGGAAGACATCTGAAAATACATGCCATTGTTTTTCCTGAAGGACCACCCAGAGTGACCAATGCACTCATATAGGCCATTGTGATGGCATCCTTCCAAATCTTCCCGTAATGCAAGGTGTATTTTGGGAACCAATCATCTGCCATTTCAAGGTGTCCACAGACAGAGAGACACTGTTTGTTCCTCTCTGCTGACTGATTGTTGAACTCGAGATTTCCCTCCCAGCCCTGTCCCCTGAGGCAGCACTGCTCCGGTGCCACTGCTTACCGAGTCATTGCCACAGAGCTGCATGGCACTGCTCAGCACAACGATGCTCACCAGCTGCCACCTCAGAGCTGGATTTTGGAAAAGCTCCCACGGGTTCTTYGCTCTCTGGCCTTTAACAGCAGCCTGTTCTGCCAGCATCTCTTCCAGCTCTGCACTCAGGTCACTGGTGCCCCTGAGCTTCTGCAGTGCTGCAAGGACAAAGAAACCTTTTACCCCTGAGCTTTCCCTTCTGTTTGCTGCTCTGCAGGGTGAAGGATCGAGCAGCAGGTGATGGCTGCAGAAAGCTGCAGAACAGAGCCTGTGATCATGCTGTGATCTTCACAGAGCTGATCAGCTGTGGTGCAGCCACTTGAAAGAAAGGGAGAAAGGGGCTGCAAATCCCTCACCATTGTTTGACAACAAAATTTCCCACCAGTGCCATTTCAGTGGCCGTGCCTCTGACCTAGATCCCAAGTGACTCCCCTGGGAAATGCAGGCAATTAAGATGTTCTTGGTACACAGCACATATTTCCCAGAAAATAATTCTAGCCACTCTGCATATAAAGATTTGTATGCTACAAATCTAATCAAATCCTTTAATATRAATTGGCTTCAGATTTGACCCTGAGCTCTCCAACCAGCATTTATTTCACTTCATAGTTACAAAACATATTTGCAATTGTGAACACGAGCCTTATTTTTTGATCCTATTACTGTAGCAAGTAAGTCTGTTGTGGGAAGATGCCTTTCATTACCTCAATAGATAAAATATATGTAAGATTATAGAATATTCTTTAGTTTGAAAAGAGGAAGTAATCATATTTACAAATTGATATGAAACTTTCTACATGTAAAATTTGTGGCATCATTCCAAAAACGTTGGGGCCCAAGCCTCACATGTTCCTTGAGGAGCTAACAGTCACCCTAAACTCACCAGAGGTGCAGGATTCTTTGTCTCCACGGTCAATCAAGAGATATCTGGGACTTTCAGGGAACCAAGGCAGAGCTGTGAGCTGGATCAGGGCAGGAACCACATTGCTTGCTAAAAGGAATGGCCAGTTCTCCTCCCCTCCTAGGAGCTCCCTAGAGAAAAACAAACAAAATTTACACAGAATTTTTACAACCTGGCAAAAACCCACCATCCTCTGCTTTTTGTTTTACATTACCTRAGTCCAACAACCTGGCCCAGCACCAGTCCCAAGGCTGTAAAKGATGCAGAGGTCAGGGCCACAGCTCCTCTGAGCTTCTTGGGGGCACTCTCTGCCAGATACATGGGCTGAATGTTCATGCTCACACCTGGGCAAGACAAACACTGAGCTCAGCTTGGAGCCAGAGGAGACAAGGATAAATGCAGTCAGCCACCTCTCAATAGCTGCACTCTTCTTTTGCAGACCATGTGATAACTAAGCTATCAGTGCTTGTTATTTACGCAAACCTTCAATTTCATTCCTATCCCTTGTATAAGCCACTAAACACACATTTCCATATTCATCAGTGGCAGTGGATAATGAAACCTGTCAGGGCCTCAGTCCTATGGTCTTTTCAGTACCAAATCCAAGGTTATACGCAATGTTTCCCTCTACTTCCATATTGTGAAGGGAATACCATATTTTATGTCCCTTACATTGAACATTGCTTGCTGGAATGAACTTCTACAAAAGTTTTTGTGTTGGTGTTTATGCTGATGAGGGAGTGACATTCTTACAAGCAGATAGGGATCCATTTTCAGCTCCAATTTYCCCCATGCACAGAGGGGCTCATGTAGTACACAAAACCTCTGCTTGTGTATGCTTTAAAGAAAAGCCCTTGGAACCCAAGTATCATATCTGTAGAAACAACTTCTTAATTCACTCATATGTGTCTGGGCAGCCTAAAGGATTAATTGCTTTAATATCTTGGATCATTCCTATTTAAATTTCTTCTAATTGTGACCTGTTATGACCTTTGTCCGTTGATATTTCTCATGTTGCCATACCTGCATTCATGCCAGTAAAAAATCTGCTGAGCATAATCATTTCAAAGGATTTGGCCATTCGGCTGAATCCTGACAAGGTTGCAGCTATGATCACAAAGATGTTGTTCAGCAGCAGCGACGTCTTCCTTCCGAGAGAAAAGACAGTGGTGAGCACAAGAGTGTCAGGTTCAGTTATCAGATAAAACATTTCACATGGCAGGTGCCACCTGCCAAGCCTGGAAACCCCACCAAAGAACACCCTGGTTAATCCAAGCCCAGAGGTGTCCCTGCAGTGCTGCCTTCAGGCTCTCTGAGGGCACCACCAGGTTCTCACCAGTTCTCACCCAGATTCAGGGCTCTGGTGCTCACACGGAGTTTCCATTTCAATGGAGGGGAATATTCCTTCAGTAAGCCATGTGTGTGCACTTTGGGGTGAAAATGCTAATTTGTTGAAAACARGCATTTTTCATGTAATAGTGTAATGGTTGTGAAACTTTGTCAGAAAGTCTTTGTGTGTCCCAGGAGAAATTTCTGTTGAAAATCAAGGAAAAAACCCCAGAGCTCTATTGACCCATACTATTACTAATGCCAACAATTCTATCTAGTCTACACTCACTGCCTTCCCAGTCAGTCTTTTTTTTCTCTTATTTATGATGGAATATGATTTTATTCTAAAGCAGTACAGGGTGAAATCTCTAAAATTTTAATGTGATAAGAAAGCCATATCCGTTCAGATCTTCATAACCATGAAACTTGTAAGTCATGGGAYCTCAAACCATAATGGGGCCTGCTTCATCATATAAGAGAGCAAACCAAAGTGGTAGCACATAGAGGAAAATCTTGGGGTTAAGAGAGAGGGAGGCAAAATCTAACTTCCTATTAGTTTATGTTGGTCAAACAGTGGTTTGGTTTTTTTTTTTCTGAAGAAAACTGGGGACAGAGCTGTGCGTGAAAGATAGGTGAGGTAAGACAGATACTTTTCAGATGCTCAAAGAGAAAAAATCCCACTGTGGAGAATTAATGAATACTTCCTGAAATATTTGAGACCAAAAGGTGGATACTCAGCCTGTGAGACATGAGGACCTGGGATACAACCACTGCTGTTTATAAGCACCTTCTGTTTTTCCAGTGTCATTCCTACCCATTCCCACCATTTATTTTGAGGAAAAATCCTTGGTCTGATCCATTATGACTCCCCATTTAAAAGTATGGCAGAAAACTGGGCACAAAAATGATGGAGATTATGTAGATGGTTACTGTGCTAAGGAGTTGAGCTGAAATCCTTGTAGCATCTCATCTGGACTGGAATATGATTTGCAGGTAATGTGGGGAGAAAATATGTTCCTTGTTAAGTTTTGAGATAAGAAATATTGTCTTGTCAGGTACTTTCTCCTCACCAACCCAGAATGCTTATAGCRGACTTATCTCAGATAGAAAACATGTTTTCATTATCTTTAGCTACAGTGGGTATTGTGCYGTAGAGCTCCTAATTCCTCTTGGACTAAGAGAAGCTGAACACTCAAATTAAATTCCAGCACATCTTACCTTCCCAACATGATGGCCATGGGACCAGCAACCACAGCCCCAGTGAGKCCCCCCAGAGGGTAGGCAGAGACAGTGAAGGACCACAGCAGCAGGATCACRTTGCTCTCCAGGGGAACACCCGTGCGCTCCAGCCAGGTTGTGTTCATGAACATCTGGATGTACTGAGAGAGAAGGACAGGGCTGCATAACCACAACAGAAAGGGAAGGACACTGCAAAAGGCTCCCTTACTAATACATCTCTTTATTCTGGGTTTTTCCTCCAGTCTCCTCCCGTTCTTAGATGTGTTTTTAGCTAAGAGTTTAGGGTGTAGAACTGTTGCTGTTGAAAAGTTGCAGTTGTTTTATATGTGTATGTAGTCATTTTGGATAATTWAAAAATTAATTTAATGGGTCTCACTTTGAATCTCAGGGCAAAAATCTATCTCAAAGGATGCAGGTTGGAAAACTAAAATTTGATTTTGCTAAAGCAGTTGAAACAAAGCTTTTGAATAAATTCTTGTGATACTAGGTGCTGCTTAAGGGTGGCTTTTGGCAAGAAAGTCCCATACTCCAGATGTGAATTACACAAAGGGAACAACACATTCCTGCTTTCTATCCCTCAGCCTGCAGATTTTCATTTGCACACCACTGTCCACAGCCCAACAGAGCCACCAAGGCTGTCCTGGGGGAGCACTCAGACCAGCAGTACTTACTGAGGCTGGAGCATTGATGATGGAGATGTTGTAACCATACTGGAAAGTGCCTCCAATCCCAGCAGCACATATTGTCAGAATCAGGATCTTGTTCTGAAGCTGAAGAAGATGGGCAGAAAATGGGTGGTTTCCTTGCACAGAATAAAATGACTCAACAGACATTCAGGCTTTGATTTGGGGGGTTTTCCCATGGCCATGTATATYCAGTGCATTCATKATTCATTGGCATGCTATTACTTCTWTCTTTTCATAWTAATAACATGTATTTYARAATAAAATAGAGTGCCTTTCCTATGGCACTCCACATGTTGTACAGAGCAGACAACATTTCTCAGCCGAACTTTCTCATTGCAGTTATTTCTACATATTCTYGTGCTTAGCAGTTTATAATTGAGTATTCAGTATTATTATATAGGTGAGATGTTGCAGACAGTGTCATGTTCAGGACACTWGAGGATGTTTCTTCATGAGTATTTTCATTGCAGCTGGCACTGCTGCTGTGCCTTGGGAAGCACGGGAAGGGCCATGAGGCTGCACCACAGGACCGGGTGTGGTATAAAAGTGACATCTCCTGACTTTCTGAGGGTGTCAAACAAGCTCTCCTGGCTGGCCCAGCGTGGCAGCTGACAGCTCACTGGCAGGCTGACAAGCAATAACTTACATGCTTTTCCCACTATTTTGTGCCTTTGCCTTTCGTTTCCCCATCTGTAGGTGAAATTCTGTGACAGGCAAGATGAGCCCTCAGGGTGTCCTGGGAGCTCTGTCCCACGTCTCAAGACCACTCTGAGCATGGTGGGGCCCCCTGATCTTTAGTCTGGCATCTCCTGCAGAATGTTCTGGKTGTCCCAAGGCCAGGATGGCCTTTGCCAGCCCCCTGCTTAGAAACCCCTCCCACTGGGAAAGCTCKAGTGTAACATGAAGAGCCCATGCTCAGGCTTGGCTCTTTGCCAGTCAGCACAGGGCACCTCAGGCCAGATTGTGTTTTGCTACATGAGTATGACCCCAGTGACCCTGAGAACTTAAATAACCCAGAGCTGGGGAGCTCTTTCTGCTTTACCTGCTCATTTTCCTCTTGCAGAGCCGTCCACCAAAGAAAAGGAAAGGTCAGTCTAGTTTCACAATAGCTCTAAAACCATAAATTCAAATAATCTTGTATTTTTTCCTTTYCTCAAAGTGTTTTCTTCTGAATAACTTCCATACCAGCCTGAGACAGGCTGTTCTCTCAGGACAGAAATAAAGCCAGGCTATTCCAACCCTGCAGCAASAAGAGGCTGAGCTCTCTCCTGTCCCAGCCAGCAGCGGGTACATTTTGCTTGCACTTTCTGTGGACACACCACTTCCCTGTCTTCTTACTAAGACCTGAGCCAAGGATTGAGCACCTGATATCTCTGCTCTTACTAWTTATTCGAGTTCTCCAGGTGAGAGAGATTCCATCTCCCTACAATAGCACATTTCCTTTTATTTACAATGCCCGCTCATTTTCCTGCTTTCATTATAGAGTCGCTATCAAGTCCTGTATCACACACAGAGCTCTTTTGTGGCCGTGAGCTAAAGCAAAATGGTTTATTTCTCCCTTCAGGAGCCAGCAAACACTTCTGCACTCAGAGCTGAGCTGTATTTACAGAGTGACCTTCCCAAGCCTTCCTTACTGCCCGGCTCCTGCAGTGTTTTCCCAGCACTGCAGTGGTGTGCAGCTGCCAGCAGAGCCATTAGTCTGTCAGCTTTATCCCAGGGACTGTTATGAGTTGGAAAAACAATTCTATGCAAGCCTGACAGTACTTACACAGCCTTATAAAAATTCAAATTAAAAAAAATCTGTCAACAATAATAGTAAAATAGATGTTTTACCAGTCTCTGCAGTTTGTTCATCCTCTTCCGTAGGTTTCCCTCTGTCTGCCAAAGCCTCTGGTACTCTCACAGTGCTCTAAAGGATTATTTAAATCTCCAGCATAGGAATGTGTGTTTAGTCACCCATTACGTTAGGATAAGACACTTGATTTGGCAGGTGTTTTGCCAGCTGATTTACATTCTCAAAACRGAGCTGCATGTTCATTAGCAAGAGAGTTCAATTAATTCTGTTGAAAGTGCATGATAGTTTGGGGAAATAATTCTCCAAGATTCAGATCTGTCTAAACCCTCTTGAAGRCCAGTGTGGTTTACAATCTAAAATCCCCCTCAGAGCATCTGGCACAGTTACCARTATCACTCCTCTGATTAGGTGTCAGCAAAGCAGAAGTGAACTACAATTATWTTTTTTTCTGATTATATTTGTCTTGGAACAAAATCGAAGATCTGAAAGACAAACCAGACTATTTCCCTTGGTCCCATCAGTGCAATGAATGAAGCCTAAGCCTTTCAAATCCCTGGTTATCCAAGGCCTTTTCCTGTACTCTATGTCCTGGTGACAGACAGGCAATCCAGCTGTGCCTGGACGCACAGAAAGCTGTGGAACTGTTCCTTCCCCATAACCTGGTATAGAGCAAACACCTCCACTTAGAGCACTAGACCTTGTCAGGTACAGAGGACAGCAGTGACAGCCTTGCTTCTTCCTATAAAATAAAATGGCACTCCCTGGCATTGGGAAATGGTGAATCCTTATGAATCCTGGAGATGGAGATGGAGATGGAGGCATATTGCACTGCCAGCAGTAATGTTAAAGCTGATGCTTCACAAAATATCTGGCCTTCAGGAGTAATCATGGTGTTTTAACATCCTTTCATCCTGCAGAGTGAAATTTGTGAGGGCCCTGACAGATTTCAGAGTATTTGAAATAAGTTAAATGTTTTTAAATGCCTCCTTATCCCTGCTCAGGTCTTACTGCAGTTGATTAGAAATATGAATCTGTTTCACATCATAGAAATATTTTCTGGTGAATGTGTAGATAGGGACGTGGTGCTGCATCAGCTGCAGCCACTAAGTGGCAGGAGAAGTACAAACTTTGCTGTATTAGGCTGAATCCAACACGCCAGTTCTTTGCTGCCTGTGGCATGTGGCAGGCGTTAGACGAATACTTCCAGCAACTTCCCAAAAAATAATTTGTTAACTGGGGAACAGATGTAACTGTGCAAGTCAACAGGCACGGATGGACAGTTTAGAYAGCATAKCTCAAGAATAGTMGTTCATTCAAAAAGGAAAGCTCTCRTTTCTTCATGCTGTCAGCTCTGAGCTTGTGACAGTTGCCAGAGGTGAGTGAAGTCCTRCKGTAGYAGTGAGGTGCTGGAGATTGTGGCACAGGCTGTTCTGCAGCCTTCCTTTCCAGAAGGGGCATAAATTGGATGTTGCTGTGGCCAGATCTGTGTGCACCTGGATAGTTGGAAGTGAGACCTCCAGGAAGTTGTCCTCTATCTTTTCTAGCAACAGMTGCCTTGATGAGGAGTGAAGGGATAGATTTTTTCCTTCCTTCACAACATCTATATGATTTGTGCTTCGATGCTGTGAGATGTTCATACTGGTTGTGTTTCTAACTGGCTTTTTGCTTCGCCTTAAAACCCACAGAATTCCCAATGTTTCATCCTTGTTGTGACAGTTTCAGAGGTGCAGTTGGAGTGGATATCTCTAGGGTCAGGGTCTGTCCCCAGGGTATAACCACTGCTCTGCAGTCACTCAAACTCCTGGCTCTGAGAGCCTTCACATAAACCCAGCAGGTTTCCTGCAGTGCTATGGGGACCCAGCACCCCCTTCCTTCAAATACTGTTTCACTGAAATCAAACCTGTCATAATCAGGATGAAATATGATGCCATGAACATGGGAGAGGAGYTATTTGGAGAACGTGATGGCAGTCTCTGCCTGCAATTATCTGACTGCAGGAATAAGTGGTAATCCTGCCGTTAGGAAAGACCATCAACACATGCTCTTTGATCTGTCACGAACTGAGACGTTCCAATGTTTTAGTATGCTTTTACACCAGAATCATCTGGACCAACTTCAAGGGGAGAAAAAGGGCCCCATTTCCATCTGTGAGGCTTGGATCTCCGGGATGAATTCTCCCTAAAAATGCTACGCTGCAAATTGCAGRAGAGATTTGGAGCAGCTCCCTGGCTGGTTTGCTGGCTATTTCTCAAGCTCTAGCATGGCTATTTCTGCAATCCCTTCTCACTTTCCTSTAAGGTCCATCACTGTGACATACAAAATACCTCTGGCTGCTTGTCCAGACTCTTGCAGAACTCACTCAGAATATAGAAGACWAATAATAAGATCTGCAAACAAGCAGCTTTCTCAAGAAACATGCAGCAGGTTTGCTGACTTCATGCTGAAAGGAATGTTTACGGAACTTAGTTGTTGAAATGGATTTTCTTTGTAGGAAATGAGTGCCCTGCTGTGACACCATTATTTTCAGTTCCAGCAGTTCACTAATGCTCTTTACAAAAACCCCACAATTTATCTAAGTTCAAGACACTTCAGGAAATGAGCTTCATCACAGAGGTTTCTCAGGGCAGGGACCCAATGCTGACAGAGCTTCTGCTACCACACAGAGTCACTGGGACGCTTTCCAGCCCAGAGGAGATACATGGGAACTGAGTCCTTTGAGGACACAAGGGCTGATAYAGCCAAGGGAATTAGCTGCTTTCCCTTGCTAGCTAGGATTTTTGGATGCCAGAAGAATGGCTGTATGCTGTGTGTTGCATCAGCAATTTGCCTTTTCCTCCTCCTGATAAGCAACAGAGCTTCTCTTGGAAAACAGAGAAAAAACAAAATCCTAAAAAAAATTGGAATACCTTTTTTTTCAGTCCATTGTGAGCTGTAGGTCTTAGGTGGCTGAACTATTTCCWTTCCTTCCATCTTTATATCAGACTGATGCAGGCAGTTAGTTGGAACTGGGTGACCTGAAGGCCARAGAGAACAAAGTGCTTGGCTGAACAAAACCTCTGCTTCTGTGTGTGAGAGAAGAGCCCTTAGACTGTGCCAAATGGCAGCAAATGTTGCTGAATGTTCCCGTCAGAGGAGAGGAAATTGTGTGCAGTGGGGTCAGTGTCAGACTCATCCTGCTGTCTTATTTAACACTCACTTCAGATGCAGCTTTTGATTAGAGCTGTGCCCTGGCTTATTGAGAGGCAGCTGGACTGGGACACAYAGTCCTGCCTTGGTGAAAACCAAAGTACAAATACCTTTTCTGCCTCCTTGTAGGGGTCTGCAGCAGCTGACAGCATGCTCAGTTGATGTGCTGCTATTGTGAGCTGAGCACAACCTCTTTTTATAAGACACAAGCATTGTTTTTCAGATCTCTCGTTGAGTTGGCCACAGCACTTGTGAAATGGATGTTACAAAATAAAGGCCCCTGAAGGATATTCCCGACTACAGCTGTGGGAGGTGACCAATGGTGTAGGGGACAGATCACAAGGCAAAAGAATTTAACAAGAATTATTAAATGCTGGAAAAAAAAATAACTGTGTAAAGAGACAGACATTCTCTTGTTTGAWGTCTTCAACTCATGATCAGAAGTTGTTTAGGAAGAGGTGCTTTATTTGGATATGTGATGAGGCTCTGCTCTAGAAGATTTAAATGAGATCTTCTTTCTCATGTTATGCCAGACACAAAGCTGTATTTTTGAACTAAAAACCATWGGAAATAAAAAAAACATTAACTATGACTTACAGCAAGCCCTGTGCAAACCACATGTCCTTGGAGGGCTGAACTCTYAAGTGCTATCTTTAGTTTCTTTCTAACAAACAAACAAATTTAAAAATCCATCCAATTCTGTATGATTCACTTTCTCCTGACTTTAGCCATCCCACTCCAGAGTTATTTGAGCAAGATTTGGAACAAGAAATCCTTCAATGAAGGAGAAAKAATTTATATATGGCTATTATACATGGAAAAGTAAACATTTCAAGTGCCYCAAGCATTTATGATTACACAGCTTATCTGTGCACAGCGGGTTCATGGAGTCTTGTTTCCTAAACTGGAGCAGAAACTCTTAATGACTGCTCCATGGTGGMTGTGGAGCTCTTGGCACCTCTTGTCCATGCCACCAAGGACTGAGTCTGAGAGCTGAAACAACCTTTCAGTGAGGTCCCCATGGCTGGTCTGGCTCATTTGTCCCCAGTGCCAGTGCATCAGTGATGTAGAGACCTCTTCTACACCAGGGCTCTTGGGGTCTCAGGCATGGCACATCCATGGCTGCTTGAACAGAGACCTCAAACAGAACTGGCATGGTCTCATATCCTGTGAAGGAGTCTCTCAGAGTGGGCGTGTGGGGGTATCTTTGTTTTGAGGTGAAGGAAAGATTTGGCACTGTAGGCAGGAGGGTGGAGCATTACTCCAAGGAAGGAGTTTGGGGTTATATGGCCAGGGAATGAACACTCTCTGTTGGGTACCCTACAGCCCTGCTGGAGGAGATGCCTACGCTTCATCAGGCCAGGTATGACTTGTCACAGTAGGACACGTCACAAAATGTCATCGGGTGAAGTTACAGACAAAATGCCAATGGTGTAGAAGAGCAGAGGGCACATGTCACAGGCTGGACTCTCCCCAAGTGCGTGCCTGGGGGTGTTTTTGTGCCCCATCACCTGTGGGCAGGGGTGAGTGCCCTGCCAAGGGCGCCAATGCTCGTTAGAGCCTGTGCTGACATGGCACACAGCTCCTTTCATCCTGCCACCCCGGGACTGCAGTGCTGGGCAAAATGGGAGCTGCTGCCTTTAAACAAAGCATCTGTTTATTCTTGAAACAATTAGTGATGGCAGTTAGATCTTGAACTCGTTACTGAGCCCAAAACAATTATGATAAAAACAAGTTCCAGATGGGCTCAAAAGGAGTTGTTTTTGTCTTTACTGAATTAGAATGGATTCCATGTCTTCAAGTTTCTCTGGAATTTATGGACAGGAAACATGAATTACACACAATAATTTACTACAAACAAAAAAGATGAATGCTGCAACAGCTCATTTATCTTTGCTCATGTGCCTTCTTGAGGTTTATGTGCTGTTTAACTCATGGGGAGAGTTAATAGCATTTTTCCTTTTTTTCTAATGCTGAAGTTTTGGTTTGCAGAAACTGAGACAGGAAGCTGTTGAATTTCTGCTGCAGGTTACTATCACTAAAAGTTGCCTCTGATACCATCATGTTTCAGTGCTGCCTTTGAAGGATTTGTGCAAAGGTTACAGTTGGGAGTTCTAACCAGTTCCTCTGGCAGCTCCAAGAGGCCACAGAGAGAGAACTTTTTGAAAGCCGGTCAAAAATGGACTGAGGTCTGGGCATCAGATTTATTTGTATGGAAACTTCGAGTTTCTGACATCTTGGGTTTTGAAGCTGATGCTGCACATTGRCAGGAATTGAAGTGCTCTCAAAAGGAAAGGGAACCCAGCAGATGGCAGGAAGCAATGGTACATCACTGTGCTACATCTGCTTTGGGTCCCTGTGCAGGGCAGGAGGGCAGGAGGAAATCAGTGAAAAAGATCCTGGGCAGCATTTTTCTGGCAGTCCCTCTTCTTGCAGCGGAGACAAAGAGTTTGACTTTGCTTTTTTTAGGGTTTTAGTTAGATTTCATRATTTTATAAAAGGCTGCATGTCAGCATCACAGTAAAGGTGTGTAATGCAAACCCAAATATGTGCCTTGGCTGATGGGAACTTGTGGAAGGACGTAACTCCAAAAGCCCATAAAATGTGACACGGATTGTAACAGAGATTAAAGCTGCCCTGGGTGCACTGTAGTGCATGAAGTCAGCTTGGCTGAGCTCCGAAGGGAGTGAGATCATGGGCAGAAAGCAGCCTGGGAACTCAGGGTGACTCTGAGATTTGTTTGGCCTCTCCCAGTGGGAGCTGGTGAGCTTCCCATTTCATCACTTCTCCTCCTTTCCCCACAAACCATGGAAAAGAGGCTTTAAATAGAAGCCTGGACAAGTAGAGTTTTTCAGTTCTGGCTAGCAAACAAGGAAAGAGAAGAAAATTGAGAAACTGATTATTACTTTTTTTTAGATTTTATGCAATGTTTAATTTGTACACAGTCTTTCACAGAGAGTGAGATTGACTATCTGGATTCTCATCTCTGTGGAGTTAGTGAGAGCTCTAGGATAAGGACCTCCTTCCAGGAGAGAGGCTCACGGTATTAATCTCCCAGCCTTGGTTCAAACAAGGGGCAGGAATCATGGTGTTTGCATTCAGCTTCTCTCTGGTGTCCACAGGYTGCAAGAGCAGATACGAAACCTAATTCCTCACCCAAAGGAACTGCATATTTATTCATTTATTTTGTTATTCATTTATTGACTCTCAGTTCTTAACTCAGTTACCCGTTCTGCTGGGTTGGGAGCTCTGTGGTGTGTTGGAGRGCTGAGCTGCAGCAGTGTGGCCTTTGGGCTGAAACAGCCAGTGAATAATGGCAGCATTTTATAGAGCTCCTGGCCCAACAGCTCTTCTCAACTTCCAGAGCTCTCACACCCATCCCAACTCCCACCAAAAGGCTGTAACCACACAGCCAAGCCTGTTGACACGGCTGCAGTTCGGGGTCCAAGTTCCGTGCTCGACTCCATTTCCAGGATCCCTAATGCTGCTCTGACCTGGAGCAGTTTGTCCTTCCCCGTCAGCACACCACATCAGAGGTGCTGCCAGCACTGCAGCACGCTCAGGAGCCCATTCTCAGTCTCACAGACACCCACCAGTCTCTGGTCYTCTCCCCTCTCTCCCCCACTCTGTTGTTTTAACCTCATGTCCTGTCATCTTCCATCTGGGTTTTGTATTTCATCAAAGGGCACTCAGGGTGGAGGTGGTGGAAGACACAAAGACTCCCTCTCCCGTCGGTAATTTCATTTCCCATTAACTGTGGGYTTAAAGGGAAATCTCAGGGCTCATTAAGGCTCTGATGACAGCTTAACCCTCTCCAGCCCAAATCCAACACCAGAGCCATTCCTCATCTCAATCCAGRGTAGCTGTAACATTAGACCCGACTCCTGAACAGGGCAGACAGGTCTGGAAAGCACAATCAGCAGAGACTGAAGGATGTCAGGTTTCTGCAGATGTTTATCAGCTCCTGTTTTCAGGAGCACTGTGTGCATTGGACATGGGGCAGCAGAAAGGCTCTGCTCTCTCCTGAGGGCTGAATGCCGCCCTTCCCCAGGGCACCCCAGCACCTGCTGGGACCACACATCCATTGGCTTCTTCAGGCGACCTTCTGCCACCTTGACAGCCCGGTGCGATCTCGCACAGCTTGGGGAAACACCTCACTGCTCCATTCGGGAGGCAGGAGAGATTTTAGTAGAAATTACTGAAATCCCGAAGCCCCCTGTGCATTAGTGAACATAAGACCCTTCTGATCAGCGGAGCAACCGGCACAACCGCTGAGGCACCAGCACCGCCGCCCTTTTCCCAGACCCAGCACTCTGCGGCGGGTTCTTCTCCCTCCAAGGCAGCGAGTTGCGGGGAACAAGGCGCTGACAGCCCCCGGCTCTTGAGGGGACACTGCGGGACCGMGCTGAGGCACCGCGCCCCTCAGCCGGGCAGGGCCCTGTCACTGTCCCAGGACCCGGGAGCCCGAGCCTCGCAGTCCCCGGTGAGCCGTGCCGCCTCAGCCCAGGTGTTTCTCCGCCCTCTGTCCCCGACTGCCCGCCCACAGCAGCCCCTGCCCCGCGTTCCCGTCCCGCCCGCCCCCGGCGCTGCCATTGCCCCTGAGGGCGGGCCCGGGGCTGCTCCCGTCCCTGTCCGCGGGGAGTCCACTCCGGGTTGGCGGCGGCCGCCAGCCGGGGCCATGAGGCGCGCTSCCATTGGTCGGCTCTGGCCGGCTGTCGCGCGGGGATTGGCCGGGCGCGCCCCGCGGGGGCGTGGTCTGCCGGCGGAGAGGGGGGGCGTTAAAGGCGCCGCGTCGGGCGGGCGGTGCGGCGCGGCCATGGCGTACCAGGGCTTCGCGCAGGAGTACCTGGGCATGCCGGCCGTGACCCGCGCCTACACCACCGCCTGCGTGCTCACCACCGCCGCCGTGGTGAGCGGGGACCGGGCGGGCTGAGAGCTGGGGGGTTGTGGTAGGGAGCCGGGGGTTGGCCGAGGGCAGCGGGTGATAGCAGCGGCTCTGCCTGTCTCCCACAGCAGCTGGAGTTCATCACCCCCTTCCAGCTCTACTTCAACCCCGACCTCATCTTCAGGAAGTTCCAGGTGAGGCCTCGCACGGGTTTGGGGCCTGGTGCCTCCTCCCGGCGAGGGGTGCGWGTGACAGGGTGGGCCTGGGTGTCCCTCTGCCCAGGGAGTGCTGTGTCATCCCCAGGGGCTCCTTTCCCACTGCTCCCACCTGCCCTGATTGCTGCAGGCTGGGTCAGCAACACCGTTCCCTCTTGTCACAGGCACCTGCATGGAGATAACTCCTTCCAGCTATTCCCTGTCACACACCATCTTGGCATTTCCTTTTTCCCTTAACTCAGAACCCATCTCTTCCTTCTCTGTTATACTGTGTGTGGCACCTGCTGTTGGGCTGGTTGGGGAAGGCTTTCATGTAGAGAGATGTGAAAAATAATTAATTTGGCTCTGGGTGCTGACTTATGGCTGTTCATCCTCTTCAGAAAAGAAGAGACATCTTTTTTTCCCCACACCTGGAAAGGTGAGATACTCTGATACATCAGAGTATCATGGAAAGTGGTCCATACAAGGGTGGAGCAGCTGTCTGGTGTCATGGGGTAGTTCTGCTGGAACAGGTGCATGACTGGGCATTCCCTGTGGACAGTGTGATGAGGAGAGACCCCTGTCCACCTCCTTTTCTCTCTCCTCTTTCTTCTTTTTCAGATATGGAGGCTGATCACCAACTTCCTCTTTTTTGGGCCCCTGGGATTCAGTTTCTTTTTCAACATGATATTTCTGTATCCTTTGGTCTCAGTGAAGCTCTCTGCTCCCATTTTGGCCTAGATGCAATTCCCCCCATCCATCTTCCCCCCTAGCATGACTTGCCTTGACAGCAGTCTAGGGCTGTGGGTTCTTCCCTTGGCTCTCTTGAATTGAAGCTGTGACCCTCCTGCCCCTCCATTTCTGCTTGCTGCAGGGCAGACCCTGCTAAAGGGCTAAAGAAGCTGGCAGTGCTGCTGCTGTGGCTCGTGCTGGCGAACAGTGCCCATTGCTGGGGTGAGCTCTGGYTGGAGCACAGCAGGTGCCTCWTTCTTTCCTTGGGGTCAGTGGTRTGAGGTGAAGTTTGCACTGTTCTGCTCTGGGGCTTGGACACCTGGCTGACAGCTTCCTGGGATRAAATAGCTTGCAGCAGCTTATTCCCTGGAAAGTCGTGCTGTGGGGCACAGCRTTCCCAGCTGTTAATTTCCTATACTGCAACCCCTCCCTTCTCTCCTGCTCTCAGGTACAGGTACTGCCGCATGCTAGAAGAAGGCTCCTTCCGTGGAAGGACGGCTGACTTTGTCTTCATGTTCCTCTTTGGAGGGTTTCTCATGACAGTATCCTTTTGAGTTGGTTGAGGCTCTGCGCTGTCTCCTGAGGTGCTGTGGATAGTGGAGGGCTTGCCTTCCACAGCATCCCGGCTGTGTGGTGGTGTGGAGCAGTTACTGCCTGCTGAGCAGCACAGCTGGTTTGTGAAACTCCTCTGTGCTTCAGGACAGAGGGCCCTGTGCCCCAGGCATGCCAGGCTCRTGCCCTGTGGCCTGGGAGAGCTCTGATGAGCATGGGGTGCTGGGGCAGCTTCTGGCTGTGTGTCACAGCTTGTGCTTCTCATCTTGCCCACCGCCTGTGCCTCACCCAGGGTGCTGAGAGGAGAGAAAAGCTGCCTATGACTGTGCTACTGTCTGCAGAAGTGCTGCTGCCCCTGGAAGGGGCTGGGTTGGGCTGCCTCATCCCTGAAGAGGACATGTGGTTGTGTGCTCAGGAAGCTCACCCTGAAAGGAAGCCCTGTGTTCTGCTCTGAGAACCTGTCTGACTGTGACAGGGCCACTGACTGAGTTCTGGTGAGTGCAGCATGGCTACCATTGCATGAGGGTGGCTCAGGACAAAGGCAAGAGCACAGAGCCATGAGGACTGGAGTGGATTGCCCTCAGTGGATTGCAGTGTGGGCCCAGAGCTTGCAACCTGTCTGTAGCTGGAGGTACAGTCACACATCCTAAGTTCTTTTCACAACACAGTAATCTGATCGGGAAAAATATTTCCCTCCCAAGCATAAACCTTTTCTGAATGTCTTCTGCTGTCCTGTGCAGATGGCTCAGAGCACTGCTGTCCCCACAGACAGCTCTGCATGAAGCTGTGTGAGCCATTAGCACCCAGGTGGCTGCAGCAGCCATAGGTGGATTTGGTTTCCCACTCCAACAATTGCAGGGGAAATTTTGCCTCTGTCTCCTTGTGCTTTGAATRAGAGGACTATGAATTCCAAGAGCCATCTCACTGCTGAACTTCTGTAGAAGGCAGATACTTGAATGTGAATTGTTTGTTAAGATGTGCCATTGTCCCGAGTGCTGTTAAGATTGTGAAAGCCCTTCTTTGAATGTCATTTTGAGGTTAATTTTGTAAATGTGGCTGTATGAGTTCTCTGGTTGTAGACATCAGCTTAAGGAGTGAGCAACCTGCATATGCCACTCCAGTGTGTCTTGTTCTGGGAGGAAATGTGTGTGGAGACTGTGTTGAAAGGCTTGGTGACAGGAAAGGCTTGGTGACACAGTGGGCAATGTCTTGGAATCCTGTGATTAGCTGCTCTAGTTGAGTTTTGTATCACAAAGCACCCTGTGCTGCCTGGAGGTGGTGCACAGGGTGGGTAGGTTTTTCCTTAACTCGGTAGTTCCTAGCTATTTGGACTCTTTGCCAGCCTGTTTTTCCTGGGCCAGGCTTTTACCATCATGCTGGTGTATGTATGGAGTCGCAGGAACCCCTATATCCGCATGAACTTTTTTGGACTTCTTAACTTCCAAGCCCCCTTCTTACCCTGGGTCCTGATGGGATTCTCTCTGCTCCTTGGCAACTCCATCATCATTGATATGCTGGGTAAGTCAAAGCTGGTGGGTGATGGGAACAAGGACACCTTGCAGCCATAGTGTTCAGTTCTCCTAAATTCTGCTGGGGCACTGGCACCTTCTCTTAGTTCACCTTACTTAAGATGGTGAGTTTCCTGAAGTGAGCTGGCTGGGTTTCTGGGTGGCTGGGCTCRGGCCTTTGCTTTTGCTTGTGAGTTGCTTTTTGGTGTGCCTTCCCTGGGGGCAGAAGCTGGGTATGGTGAGCTGTTCCTGCTCTCCTGGATGTGCGGTGCTGCCCTCAGGCTGATGGGCTCCCTGCCTGCTCATGTGCTGATCACAAACTGCAGCATCCATGTCTCTCTTGGGAGCTGGATGTGGGCACACAGCTGAGGGATCCTTAGAGCTTTGCCCTGCTCAAGCTCCCAGCAGCTGTGGTTCAGCTGGCAAAGGAGTCACAGCTGTGCCTGACCTTSTGGCATCTCTCCCCAGGGATTGCAGTGGGTCATATCTATTATTTCTTGGAAGATGTTTTCCCCAACCAGCCTGGAGGAAAGAAGTTGCTGTTAACCCCCAGCTTTCTGTAAGTAAAGTTGATTCTTTGTGGGCTTTGTTGTGGGCTTTCTCAACCCGGTCACTTCCATAACAAACTGGTCTGTGACCATAAGAGGCAACTGCCTGCTGACAGSACTTCAGCTCCACAGTTCATGCCTCTGCTGCATTATTTACACATTATATACATGTGTACAGGGCCCATACAGCAGCTGCTGACACCTTCAGCTGTGCTAGTAGAACTAGAGCCTTCTTATTGCTTTTGGAAATGCTATATGTAGATAGGATTTTTTTGGATGTGTTTTTGTAGTTAAAGAARGCAGAATTTGTTCTGCTTTGTGCACTGAGGATCAAACCTGACCTAGAGATCAAGGAAGGAGGTATTGTCATCRCTGTGTATTGAGCTGAACAAAAGAATGGTTGGTGATGGTGCAATAGGCCAGTGGCTGTGGCTGACAGCCAAGCCCCACAGAGGGCCAGGGTGTTCCTAGGAGGGCTGGGGGTTTGTTATCCTCACATCAGTTTTCTAACCTGCCTGCTTGGTGGGATGGGCATGTCCCTTGCCAGGAAGATGGTTTTTGACACACCTGAAGAGGATCCCAATTACAACCCTCTCCCTGAGGATCGTCCAGAACAACAACCTAGAGACCAAGACCACAATGAACAGCAGCATCCACAGTAACATGGAGGACTTCTTCCTGTGACCAGATTCCTCTCTTTGGCTGGACTTAGGCTGTGGCCCAGAGATCCTACTGGAATAACACCAGTTGCCATTCCGATGTGTAGTGTGTTGCTGTTTGTRTGGGTAACCCATCTTCCCCTTGTACAAAGTGGATCACAGAGCTTTGCACACAAGAACTGATGAATGCTTGCGGAGGTGTTCTGTGGGCAGGGACTGAAGTTGTGATGGCTCCTCAGTTACCTGGTGTGGAATAAGTATTGAATTGGGTGTT